CATGATCCCTTCAGGGCCAGGGAATCTCCGTGGCCCTGAAGTCCGGTCACAGGTTGTACACTGCACAACCCGGGTGACATCTGCACTGGAGAGCAGGAACAACTTCTGCAGACATCCAATGGCCACCCTGGGTCCCCCTTCCTCCCTTCAGTTTCAGTACACTTTGAATTTAATCTCTTAGGCCATGCCCGTGGAAACAGGCTAGGATTGGAGGGTGTAAGCTACAGGCAATGTGCATGCTGGGAATCCTCCGGAACAGTAGTGATGACGCGGCAGCGCCCAGAGCCCTTCCAATGAGGAAATGTGAACAGGTGCACAAGTCCATATGCATAGACGTGCATTCTTCTTAGTTTCTCGCCCTTTCCTTCCTCCAGAGGCCTCCCTGGATTTGCTGCATGTATTAGACTATCCACAGGGGTTTCTCTTCAGATGGATTCTGATACTTGAGGGCAGAAACTCTGCTCATTCTTCTTGTCTTCTTCATGTCAGTATATAAACTGGACTCAATGCACATTCCTTGGTTGAGTGGATGAGGGATGGATGGATGGTTGGTTGAGTGGATGGTCAGATGGATGGCTGGGTGAGTGGATGGGTGGGTGAATGGATGGGTGGTGGAGTGGATACTTTAGGGGATGGATGGATGGAGAGGTGGGTGAGTGGTTGGATGAGTGGATGGATGAATGGTTGAGTGAATGGATGGATGGTTGAATAGATAACAAATGGTTAGATCAATGATGGATGGGCAGATGGTGAATGGGTGGATGGGTGGTGAATGGATGGGTGGTGGAGTGGATGCTTTTAGTGGATGGATGGATGGAGAGGTGGGTGAGTGGGTGGATGCGTGGTGAGTGGTTGGATGAATGGGTGGATGAAGGAATGCATGGATGGATGGTTGAATACGAACAAATGGTTGATGGATGAATGGATGACAGATGGGGAATGGGTGGATGGGCTGGATGCATGGATGGATGGACAGAGGAGCCGATGTGCGGACAGGTGGACAGATGGGTGATGGGTAGATAAATGGACAGATGAGTGGATGTGTGGATGGGTGGACAGATGTGTGGATGGGTGGACGGATGTGTGGATGGGTGGACAGATGTGTGGATGGGGACGGATGTGTGGATGGTGGACGGATGTGTGGATGGGTGGACGGATGTGTGGATGGGTGGACGGATGAGTGGATGTGTGGATGGGTGGACGGATGTGTGGATGGTGGACGGATGTGTGGATGGTGGACGGATTTGTGGGGCGGGTGGATGAATGGATGGGTGGGCGGATGTGGGATGGGTGGGCGGATGTGTGGATGGGTGGACGGATGTGGGATGGGTGGGTGAATGGATGGGTGGGCGGATGTGTGGATGGGTGGGCGGATGTGTGGATGGTGGATGGATGGTGGATGGTAGTGGGCGGATGTGTGGATGGGTGGACGGATGTGTGGATGGTTGGACGGATGTGTGGATGGGTGGACGGATGTGTGGATGGGGGGTGGACGGATGTGTGGATGGGTGGGGCGATGTGTGGATGGGTGGACAGATGTGTGGATGGGTGGACAGATGTGTGGATGGTGGGTGAAGGATGGGTAGTTAGATGGCTAGATGGGCAAAATGAAGGAACCCAGGTCGGGGCATCTCACAGCACACGTGTAATCGTCACTTTCAGCACCTCGCATGGGTCCCATCATCTGATTTCAGTGTCTCCCTCCCCCACAAGACCATGTGCTCTGTGAGGGCAGGGCTCTGTTTGCCTCCCTCACCATTTTGCCCAGAGCACTGAGCTCAGGGGCTTGGAGCACCGCGAGGTTCAGGGAGTATTTGTCAAAGAATAGACTTGGATGAGAAGAAATCACGTTTTCATTATTGTAGAAAACACAAATGAACAGACGTGGCATGTGTATTAAGAGTACACGAAAGCTGGACAAAGTTTGAAAGACAGGGGTTTTAAATATACGCCAAGGACTTTATCTGAAATCCAATGAGCCACACAGTCATGGGGCTCACACAGTTTTACTGAATATGTCGCGCTTCTTCCAAGAAAGGCAAGTGAAAGTTCCTCAGCTGACATCAGAGCAGCTGGACGTGACTTGGGAAGAGTCGGAGATGTGTTCCTGCCTCCCCAGAGTGCCGACGCAGCACCAGCCCTCGGCGGAGGCCCAGTGAGCCTGTAATGTGACCGTCCCAGACGGCGCATCCAGCACAACCAGCCGCATCGCAGTGCCTGTGCAATCGATTCTACTGCTCAGAATCTGTGATCCACACGCATCACCCCACTGTCATCCTTTACTGACTCTGAGAATATTCCTTTTCCCCAAATGTTCTTTATGAATGACAATTAGATATATTCAACAAAATTCATATCACAGATTGAAAACTAAGGCCACATTACAGTTCTAAGTTCGTTGAGGAAAAGCACTCTACGTTGAGGTATGAGCTATCTAACACAATTCCAGTTTTATTTCAAATAAGTACAAAGCATTATCACTCAGGGGTATAATGGAGAAAATGCTAGAACTAAAATGCTTATGTTTTAGAACCATTTTCTTGCTAATTCATTCTGTGACCTCAATTAAGTATTAATCAACTCCTCTGGTTCTCATTGTGTAATGGGTAATCACAGCTCCTCCTGTGGTCGGATTATGCGAAAAAAAAAATGGCTGTGAACAATGCTTAGAAAAATGTAGTGATGTGTATATGTTATTTCTACTTACTAAAAAGACTCTGTCATATTAATGGAGTTGCCTTTTGAGTCGCGGTTGTGTAAATAAAAGCAATAGCTTAGTACACAGGAGAAAAGTTGATGAGCATAAAACATCTCCAAGAATAACATCAGCAGCGTATTTCTAAGACTGGACCTATTTTTAAAAGAGCATTAAGAGCACTGCCCCGGTCTCTCTGAGAATGTGGAATATTCTCTATTTGCCAAAGAGTGAGGGATGTCAAGGGAGAGCAAGCCCAGGAGGGTCCCATGGGCTGCCGTGGAGGGTCACAGGTCTGGGAGGTCTGGACTGTGGGGGCCGTGTGGGTGTGGTAGAGCGGGGGCACCCCCAGCACTGCCCCCATTCCCATAGCCCCTTCATCTGCCTGTGAGGTGTGGCTCCTCTGGGACCAACAGACAGCCTGCCTCTTGGGGGAAGACGGTGGCTGCTGTCATCTTCTCGGGCTCACTCAGGCGCTGGCAGTGCACACCCATCAGAGCAGACCCCATTAAGGCTTGAAGAGTTAAGAACCAAGGGATGGATGGAGATGCAGAGAGACACTACGGATCCTGGGGCAGCCCGCCAGGGAAGCTCCAAGGTTCTCGAGGCAGGTTGACTCACGGCGACCTGCATGGAGGAAGAGGTCACCGGGTCAGCTTGCAGGGAGGAAATGTGAAGCTGACACAGAAACCCCAGGAGGATGTGTGCTGGAGGAACTACCAACCCGAGGGCGTGGCATCTATGCTTCCCGGAGAGGGACAGATGCCCCAAATGAAAATCCAGCCACTACCAGAGTGCACAGCGGAACGGGGGCCGTGGGGCTGTGCCTGCTCTCAGGGTGGTGACGCTCTCACCACACCAACTGGAACAGGGGCCATGGACTGTGCCTGCTCTCAGGTGGGTGACGCTTTCACCACACCAACTGGTGGGGGTGGCTGGTGCAGATACCTCAGCTGGACAAGCACACCTGGGGCGCCTGCACCTTTGCACCATCCGTGGAGAACCCACCAGCACTCTGGGAACATTTCTGAGTGGGGCTGCCCAAGGACCAACCTGGCAGGAGTGGGTGGGTTGGCGATGGTTTTCAAACAGCAGATGCTGCAGAAAGTTTAGAACTAGTGATGAGACCGTTCTCACTTCAGAAGACAGAAGCCGCAGAAGAGCAAGGAAAGGCGAGAGGCCAGTTTTTCCCTCGGATGTTTTGATTTTGAGGAGGGGACATTCAGTGTAACCTTGGCACCAACCCACCAGACTTCCTTAGAAAGCAAGCAAGACAAGTGTGGGCCTCGTTGCTGGGACTCATGTCTTAAAATACTAAATAAGAGGCACTGACATTTCCTCGTAACTCTACCTAGGGAGGTGACTGGCCTCTAGCACTGACCCCGTCTGTGATGTAAGAGTTCTGAGACCCCAGAATAATGTGCACATTAGTTACCAGGAGTCCTGGCAGGATAGGGGGTAAGACAAAGCGATAAAAGCATCCGTCTCACATTGGCAATCAACTCCACCCAAGCGGTGGGGTATTTTCTCTGGCGCAGTAGCCCAGCGAGGGCAGCATGGAGGTTGCCTTTGGAAATGTGTGCTGTAGACTTTGCTGTGACCTGGGAGGATTTCCTTGAGTTCTCTGGGCCCCATTTCCTCATTTTAAGATTGGGGCAGTGTCTACCACACTTTGCTGAGTTGTTTCAAAAATCTGTTATCTCAAGAGAATAAGGACCTGGCACAGGCGAGACAGGCTTGGCTGGAGAAGCTGCTTGCGTGATGAAGAGGGCAGGCTGGTATTGACAACGTCTCCTGCCCAGGATGGAAGGCAATAGGGTTGGTGACGATGAGGGTGTTCATGACCCAAACCCCATGGGCCGCAAACCAGAAGCCCAAAAGCTACCAGCTGAGGAAGCTCACTTATTTTTCTTCTATTAGGGTGTACAGTTGAACTGAAACTTCACTGCTGTGCGCCACCCCATTTGGGATTCTCAGAGGTGGCGGAGGACCCAGACCACAACTAAGCAGCACCCTGCCTCCCTGGGAGGCTCAGAGGTCCTGGGAAGGTTCTTTCCTGTACCCAACAGTTGTTCCTTCTAAACTGGGACACCTGGTGCCCCCACAGCAAGAATTATGAACCTGCTTGCACCACTGCTAAAATATAATTCTCCAGGTCTCTGATGAAGGGGAAAGGCAAGGGCATTGTTTCTAAGGGCCCATCAGTCACACGCATACTAGCCTAGAAAGGCTCTAAGGTGGCTGGGCATCGTGGCTCACGCCTGTAATCCCAGCACTTTGGGAGGCCAAGGCTGGTGGTCACTTGAGGTCAGGAGTTCAAGACCAGCTGACCAACATGGTGAAATCTCGTCTCTACTAAAATACAAAAATTAGCTGGGCATGGTGGCATGCACCTGTACTCCCAGCTACTCAGGAGGCTGAGGCGGAGAATCACTGGAACCTGGGAGGCAGAGGTTGCAGTGAGCCAAGATTACATCACTGCACTCCAGCCTGGGACATAGAATGAGACTCTGTCTCAAAACAAGAGAGAGAGAGAGTGAGAGAGAGAGAGAGAGAGAGAGAAAGAAAGAAGAAAGAAAGAAAGAGAGAGAGAGAAAGAGAGAAGTGGAAAGAAAGAGAGACCGAGGAAAGAGAAAGAGAGAGAGAGAAGAAAGAAAGAAAGAAAAAGAAGAGAAATGAAAAAGAAAGAAAAGAGACAGAAAAGAAAGAAGAAAGAAAGAAGAGAGAAAGAAAGAGTGAAAGAAAAAGAGAGAGAAAGAAAAGAGAAAGAAAAAAGAAAGAAAAGAAAGAAAGAAAGAAAGAAAGAAAGAAAGAAAGAAAGAAAGAAAGAAAGAAAGAAAGAAAGAAAGAAAGAAAGAAAGAAAGAAAGACTCTAAGCTTGGTAGCTAAGAGAGCTGACCGCAGAGCCAAATGGAAATCCCATGTAGTCCCAGCTCTGCCACCTCCTAGCCACGTGACCCGGGACATCTATCCCTTTCTGCCCTGATTCCCATCTACAACACAGGATGCTAGTGCATAGTGCTAAGGACGATGTCCCATGTGTGGCCACACAGCCAGCACTGTCGGGTGCTGCTAACCTTAGTAGAAAACATAGTTCCTTTCCCAAGAGCCTGTTTTGGGGAGCCAGCGAGAGAATCCTTCCTGGGGAGAACCCTGGAGAGAAGGCAGCTCAGGTCTGGGAATACGTGGGTGGAAAATGCTAGCAGGGGCATGCTTGGCCTTCCTGCCCACCATTCGAGGGCATCCAGAACATTCTTCATTTGGGGTCTTGGCTTACAGGGTGGGCAGCTGATATGGTGTGGATCTCCACCCCCACCCATGTTTCATGTTGAATGTGATCTCCATGTTGGAGGTGGGGCCTGCTGGGAGGTGGTTGGATCCTTCGTGACTGGTTTAGCACCATCCCCTTGGGGCTGTCTCATGACAGAGTCCTCACGAGATCTGGCTGATTAGAAGTCTGTAGCACCTGCCCCGACCCCTTCCTCCTGCGCCAGCCATGTGAGACATGCCTGCTTCCCTTTGGCCTCCCACCATCATCATAAGTTCTCCCCTGAGGCCGATGTCGCATGCTTCCTGTACAGCCTGTGGAACCACCAGCCGACTTCTTTTCTTACGAGTGACCCAGTCTCAGGCATTTCTTTAGAGCAGTGTGAGACCGGCCTAATGCGGTAATGATGGGTCCATGGGAGGCTGTTTCCTGGGGTGAAGACGAGAGGGACCAGGAGAAACCTTCACACAATAACATTTGTTGAATCGAATAAATTAGATGGGAAAACTGTCTGCTTCCCCAGGGAACCAGCGTTCCTCATGCTAGAGGAAAGGAAATGTGCTTCAGACGGGAGAGAAGATTCCTCCCATGGTCTGCAACCTCCGCAGCTAACAGAGGGTTGGTTCCCCTAACACCACCGGAGCTGGGGAAGTTGGTGGTGGCCTCCGGGGAGGCTGGCCAGTGTGGCGGCATGTGGTGGGAAGGTGCTCCAGAGCTGGCCTCACTCCACGTGGCCTGGGCAAGTCAGGTCTGTGGAGGAATTTTCTGTTTCTTCCATTTGAAGTTACCATGAAGCAGGCTTCTCTCATGTAAAGGTTTTTGCAAGAGAAGTAGAGAGAGAACCATGACCACAGAAAATGAAAACACAGTCACCTGCTAAAGAAATCCTCGGACGAAGGAAGCCTTGCTTGGCTCTGCCTCCTGAGCAGCCGAGTCCTGCCAGGTGAGGTGGATGCAGGGAGAACACACGGGTGAGGGAGCAGCGCCTGGACTAACGCCCAGCGTGGGGGCCCAGATCAATCCCAGCCCCCTAACCACAGGCACCTCGAGAGCATTTGGAAGCAGCAGTCACATGCCCTGCCAGATAAGCCCTGTGGTCCCTTCTCTTCTTCTTCTATTATTTATTTAGTTATGTTGGGACAGGGTCTTCCTCTGGAGTGCAGTGGGGCGGTCTCGGCTTACTGCAACCTCCACCTCCCGAGCTTAAGCCATCCTCCCACCTCAGCCTCCCGAGTAGCTGGGACCACAGGTGTACGCCACTATATCCGGCTTATTTTTGTGTTTTTTATAGAGATGGGATCTTTCTATGTTCCCCAGGCTTAAGTGATCCTCCCTCCTTGGCATCCCAAAGTGCTGGGATTACAGGCATGTTCTTTGTTGGAAAAACCTCAAAATCTTTACAAAAGTCACAGTCTTGGTGTTTCCCACTAGAGGTTTACACTAACAACCCTGCCTCCATCACACGTGTCATTCATTTGTGGTGGGCTATGTGCAGACCCAGGAAGAACAAGTCCACAGGGCAGATCAGCCTCCAGAGGTCTTCAGCCTCCAGAGGTCTCCAGCCTCAAAAGGTCATACGCAAGTCGGGGCTGTGGCCCTGAGCAGCGTGGTGTGTGGGTGCCCTGTGGTGTCCACGCCACATATGACGATCCCTGCGAGTGACGGGTTTCAGGGACAGTCAGCGGAGGACAATCATTAGGATCCGTCAGTGACCGAAGGTGTCGGACCCCACAGCGGGGCCTATTGTGCATCTTCCCATTTGAATCTCACAGCCTGTGCGTGGCCGGGGCTGTTACCACATTTCCTTTTACGAATGAGGAAACTGAGGCACCAAGAGGCTCAATACCTTGCCTGGGCAGCCCAGAGAGTGAGTGGCAGAGACAGGATTTGTGGTGGGCACCTGGGTCCCACGGTCACCCGTGGTGTAGCACGCTGGTATCATGAAGCCAGTCCAGTGAGCGTGTGAAGCAATGAAACCTTCACCAACCCACCTACAGTTTCCCCCCTGCCTGCTCATGGCTGCCTTTTCAGAAGTGAGGCTGCACACCCCGTAAAGGGCCACAAAACACAGACGCACACACAAATCTACCCTTGGCCAAATCCCACTCTGCCGTCCCCGTGAGTGGCCAAGGCAGGACCCACACATCAGACACGCCCACTCCGCACCCACCTTCCTGCCAGCCTGCGCCTCCTATCCGTAGAACAGCCGGTAGCTGAGGTTGTCGGACTGGATTGTAAAGTTGTATCTCCCATTGGTTCTCCGGTAGCGCACGATCAGAAAGGTGGCTGCTCCCACCACCAGCACAGAGATGGCCACCACGGTGAGGACCACATAGCCAGTGCCCAGGCCTGCTTCTGCACGTGGAGGCTCACCTGGGGAGGAGACAGGCACAGGTGAGAGATCTGTCTGAATGGAGGAAGGCGACAGACAGAAGGTGCTTTATCGTCCTGGTGAACCGAAGCTTTGCCACTGGGTACTGACACTCTATTTACCGCTCACGGTTTTGTCTTTATTTTTCTGATATTTACATGTATTTGTCAGTTTATGTTTTCCTGCTATTTCTCTTCTCTATTTTTATTTTTTATATAGAAATGTCTAAACATAAAAGTAGAGAGAATTGTATTCCAAACTACAATGATACAGCTTCAAGAATCAGCAGAAAATCGACTTTTGTATTTTAAAGCTGTCTCTAAAGAACTAGGTTGGCTGTTGAATTTTCTATCCCAGAGATGTTTTTCAAAGAACCAGACCATTCATTGATTCTACCTGTGTCTGATTTCTAACTCAGCGACTTCTACATTGATCTATGTCCATTCTTTCCTTTTACTTTTTTGCCACGTATAAGGTTTTTTTTATTTAAATTATTCTCCTCTCCATTTCCAAACTTTTTAAGGTGATTTTCTTTTCATATCTTCTTCCTTTATTTAGCCCCGTACCCAGATCTGGGCTGATGGATCTGAAGCTTGGGAATGTGAGGCCCACATGCACACCTGTGTGGCTCTGGGTTATTAAAGGTGAGGCAGGTGTCCGAGCCCAGGACAGCACTGCAGTAAGGACAGCGCGGCCTGGGGAGGCCTGGGCCACGAGCCGGGGCTGGGAGGAACCAACAGGTCTTCCTGTGGCGGGAGGAGAGCCCAGCCTGACTCCCTGTGTGGAGACACAGGTTGGGCCTACACAGTCTCCACAACACAGAGGAGTGGGCCGTCTCCAGGCCCAGAGGAGCAATGGAAAAACAGTGTGGACCCTAAAAGACGTGAGAACAGGGGCTCCAACAGCTTCTTCCACATCCATGTTCACAGCACCAGCCAAAGGGGGTCAACAACCCAAATACCCACCAACTGGTGAATGAATCCACACAATGCGGCCCAGCACGCAATGGAACGTTACCCAGCCCGGGGGGAACAAAGCGCGGACCCACTGGGGAACGTTACCCAGCGCGGGGGGAACAAAGCGCGAACCCACTGGGGAACATTACCCAGCCCGGGGGGAACAAAGCACGGACCCACTGGGGAACGTTACCCAGCCCGGGGGGAACAAAGCGCGGACCCACTGGGGAACGTTACCCAGCGCGGGGGGAACAAAGCGCGAACCCACTGGGGAACATTACCCAGCCCGGGGGGAACAAAGCACGGACCCACTGGGGAACGTTACCCAGCCCGGGGGGAACAAAGCGCGGACCCACTGGGGAACGTTACCCAGCGCGGGGGGAACAAAGCGCGAACCCACTGGGGAACATTACCCAGCCCAGGGGGAACAAAGCGCGAACCCACTGGGGAACATTACCCAGCCAGGGGGGAAAAAAGCACCAACCCACTGCGATGTCAGTGAGCCTTGAACACGTCGCGCTGAGTGAAAGAAGCCGGCGCCTGAGGCACATGCAACGTGATCCTGTTATAGGAACCGAACCGACAGAAAAAGGGCGATTTCCAGGGAGGAGGGGAAGGCGGACGGGGAGTCACTAGTGAGTATGAAGCCGCATTCAGGGTGAGGAAAACATTTTGAAACTAGATGGAGTTGGTGGCTGTGCCACATTGTCCACGTACTAAACACCACTGAGTGATTTACTTTAACACAGATAGCTTGAGGTTACGTGACTTTCATCTCAAGTTAAATTTTTTTTTTTTAACAGAGTCTTCCTCTGTCACCAGGCTGGAGTGCAGTGGCACAATCTCAGCTCATTGCAACCTCTGCCTCCCAGGTTCAAGCGATTCTTCTGCCTCAGCCTCCTGAGTAGCTGGGACTACAGGTACCCACCACCATGCCCAGCTAATTTTTATATTTTCAGTAGAAACGGTTTCACCATTTTGGCCAGGATGGTCTCAATCTCTTAACCTTGTGATCCACCTGCCTTGGCCTCCCAAAGTGCTGGGATTACAGGTGTGAGCCACCACACCCGGCCTTAATTTTTTTTAAAAACTGAGCTGACTGAGAAAGATGCCAGCCATCTGCCAGCTCTCTGGCCAGCCCCATCAACCAAGGGGGAGAGGTGACCCCTCCCCACTTGGTGGCCCCGCCCTGGGGAGTGCACCTTGTCAGGGCATAACTCATCATCAAGGGCATCTATAGCCAGGTCACAGCCACATCCTGCAACACGTTGTCCCCCCCAGTCCCCTCCATCTCGGGGTGTTTCCCCCCCCACATATCAGGAAGATTCACTTTGGAAACAGCCTTCCTGGGCAACCAGGAGCACTTGAGATCCCGTTTCCATTCCCTGTATTGATTTCCAGGCAGTCTGCCCAGAGTAGATGCTGCTTTGGGTCCCCCAAGAAACAGCACAGGGGTGTCACCATCAGCAAGGCTGTTTGACAATGGCACTGGAGGATCCCTGGGGTGCTGAACAGTAAGTTGGCTAGAACCAGACCACCCCTCCAGAGAGAGGAACAGGGAACTCCCCCTCCTCCAGCCAGAGTGACTGCAACTTCCCCAAGGAACTAAGCGCCCCAAACCCTAGCTGGCTGCCTCCCCAGACCACTCCTAAATCACGATGGCCCCTAAGTCCAACCCCCAAGAGCTCTCTAGTGGACCTTCCTCCTGTTCCTTGAGTTACGGGCCACCTTGCCAGCACAAGGAGGGACACCTCCCTGAGGATGCTGGAACAGAAAGACCAAGGAGACCCAATCCTGCTGGCCCCTTGCAGCCTGGAATGGCCCCGGACTGTCAGCCCCGAGAAAGACGCAGCCCTGTTCAGTCACCACTTCTCCAGCTAGGTTTCTGTGACCTGCAGCTGTGTGCTCCTAACTGATCCACTAGCTCGGGGCTGGCCACAACGTGTCTGCAGACCAGTTCTGCCCACTGACTGACACCAAAGCCCAGGAATGGTTACTCCCCACGGCAAGATTAGCTAGAAATGGAGAACAAGCTCCAAGAATCGTGGATCACAGTTTCCCACAGCCATTGGCAAGGTCCTGCCAAACAGGGCATCTCCGTGCTCAGAGAGCCTCCATGCCTGTGGAGCTGCGTGTGCACCATGACCGTCAGACTGCATGTCAGTCCATGATGCGGGGGTAAATTAAATGATGGGCAGGACTCTGAGCCACGGCTGCTGTTGTAAAGGGGGATATAACCCAGTGAGGGAAAGGGAAGAACTCAGGTGGGGCTTAAAACCGAGATGATGGGTTGGTGGGTGCAGCAAACCGCCATGGCACAGGTATACCTACGTAATAAACCTGCACATTCTGCACAGGTTTCCCAGAACTTAAAGTAAGATAAAAAATCAAAAATAAAAAGAACCCAGATGCAGAGGAAACAGGGCCCTTCCACGGGTCTGAGTTCCAGCTCAGCCACTGTCTAGGGCTCCTCGGTCTCCTCACTGCTGAGCGGTCTCAGGACTTGCTGCAGGCCCTTCCTGCCACTGAGCACTCCCTGGACACTGTCCTCAAACTTTCTCTGCTTCTCAGCACAGGGACGCTCTCATGACTGTGAAATAAGTGGGGAAGCTAGGAAAGAAAGACCGTGGAAGAGTTCCAAAAGCTGAATGCAGAAATTATGATGCTGATATGCTGTTTGTTGGTAGTATACATTCGGGGAAGATGCCCAAATGGATGCTTTCTTAAATTGTCAATACACGGGCTTATCTCTGTGTTAAATTGCAAACCCCTCACCTTTTGCAAAAACAAATATGCTGAAATCAAATGGCCATACTGCCCCAATAGATTTAATGCTATCCCCATCGAACTACCAATGACTTTCTTCAAAGAATTGGGGAAAAAAACACCTTAAACTTCAAATGGAACCAAAAAAGAGCCCAACTAGCCAAGACAATCCTAAGAAAAAAAAAACAAAGCTGGAGGCATCACACTTACCTGACTTCAAACTATATTACAAAGCTACTGTGATAACAACATCATGGTACTGGTACCAAAACAGAGACATAGACCAATGGAACAGAACAGAGTCCTCAGAAAGAAGACCACACAACTACAACCATCTGATCTTTGACAAACCTGACAAAAACAAGCAAAGGGGAAAGGATTCCCTGTTTAATAAATGGTGTTGGGAAAACTAACTAGCCATATGCAGAAAGCTGAAACGGGGTCCCTTCCTTACACATTATACAAAAATTAACTCTAGATGGATTAAAGATTTAAACATGAGGCCTAGCACCATAAAAACTCTAGAAGAAAACCTAGACAATATCATTCAGGACATAGGCATGGGCAAAGATTTCATGATTAAAACACCAAAAGCAATGGCAACAAAAGCCAAAATAGACAAATGGGATCTAATTAAACTTAAGAGCTTCTGCACGGCAAAAGAAACTATCAATAGAGTGAACTGGCAACCAACAGAATGGGAAAAAATTTTTGCAATCTACCCATCCGACAAAGGGCTAATATCCAGAATCTATGGAGAACTTAAACAAATTTACGAGAAAAAAACAATCCCATCAAAAAGTGGGCAAAGGATATGAACAGACACTTTCCAAAAGAAGACATTTATACAGTCAACAAACCTATGAAAAAAAGCTAATCATCACTGGGCATTAGAGAAATGCAAATCAAAACCACATTGAGATACTACCTCACACCAGTTAGAATGACAATCATTAAAAAATCAGGAGACAACAGATGCTGGAGAGGATGTGGAGAAATAGAAATGCTTTTACACTGTTGGTGGGAGTATAAATTAATTCAACCATTGTGGAAGACAGTGTGGTGATTCCTCAAGGATCTAGAAATAGAAATTCCATTTAACCCAGCAATGCCATTACTGGGTATATACCCAAAGGATTATAAATCATTCTATTATAAAGACACATGCACACGTATGTTCACTGCAGCATTGTTCACAAAAACAAAGACTTGGAACCAACCCAAATGCCCATCAATGACAGACTGGATAAAGAAATGTGGCACATACACAAAATGGAATACTATGCAGCCATAAAAAAAGGATGAGTTCATGTCCTTTGAAGGGACATGGATGAAATTGGAAATCATCATTCTCAGCAAACTGACACAAGAACAGAAAACCAAACACTGAATATTCTCACTCATAAGTGGATGTTGAACAATGAGGACACACAGACACAGGGAGGGGAACATCACACACCAGGACCTGGTGAGTGGGGGGCTAGGGGAGGAATAGCAAGGGGTGGGGGTATTGGAGAGGGATAGCATTAGTAGAAATACTTAATGTAGATAACAGGGTGATGGATGCAGCAAACCACTACCACGGCACGTGTACACCAATGTAACAAACCTGCATAGTCTGCACACGTACCCAGAACTTAATGTATAATAAAAAATAAAAATAAAAAAATAAATGTTTGAGATGATGAACATGCTAATTATCCTTATCTGATCACTAGATTGTACATATCAAAATATGTACCCCATGAATACATACAATTATTTTATTAATAAAAAATAAAATATTGAAAAAAACAACTTGTTTTAACAACAACAAAAAAAAATCCTGACCCCCCAGCACTGTGGGGCATGGCCTTATTTGGAAATGGAATTGTTGCAGATGCAATTAGTTAAGATGAAGCCACATTGAGGTAGATCGGCCCTTAGTCCTATGTGACTGGTGTCCTTGTAAAAAGAAGGCCAGGTGCACACGGACACACAGGGAGAAGTCTGTGTGCAGATGGGGGCAGAGACTGGAGGGAGGCAGCTGCAAGCCAAGGTCCACCAAAGACTGACCACAGCCAGCAGAAACGAGGATGGCGCAGGGGAGAACTCCCCGCTACAATGTTCCGAGAGACTGTGGCTCTGCCAGCACCTTGATTTTGGACTTCTGGCCTCCAGAACTGGGAGAAAACAGATTTCTGTTGATTAAGCCACCCAGGCTGTGAGATTCTGTTACGGAGATGCCAGGACATCGTGAATATGATGTGAGGGCTGGGGTGGAGGGAGGCCTCAAAATGAAACCAGCCCAGTTCCCTGGGGACAGAGAGAAGAGAGCGGGTTATAAACAGCCTGGATCTGCACTCTCAGGCCCAGCTCATGCAGGTACCAGCTGTGTGAGCTTAGGCGCATTCCCCAAAATTGCTGAGTCGTCCTCATTTCTTCCCTGAAGTGGAGGTGCTGGTGATGGCGGGGGCAGAGCATGGGAGCTCAGAAGCTGTGGATAGAGGTGAGGTCCTGAGGAACATGTCTGCCAGCCTCCTCTCACCTCTGCAGTCTTCAACTGTGTCACTATTAAAGCGTAGGCAAGTCCCCACCAACTGGGAGACTCCATGTGTCTAAAAGATTTTGCTGTGCATTTGTATGACAGTCATAGACCCAACAAAGGCTACGAACACAATGAGAAAGAATGTTGAGCAGCATGAATATGTACAATCATTGTTCTTCAGCCTGAGAAGTCACACCCTTCTTGCATTGGTTATGCCACTGCAGTGCTCTACCAGTTACAAGTGAAAAGTAGCACTTATCAATAACTTCTATGTATGAAGCAGGAATTATTATTTTTTCCATTTCACATAAGGCACAATGCACATGCAGCATGCACAAAGTCACAAAATTATGCAGTGTCAGAGTCAAGCTTTGAATCCAAGGAGCCTACTTTCAACCTCACAAATCTCTTATCAATAGACACTCACAACAACCTTATGAGGTAGGCAGGGCATGCTGCAAGGAAAAATCAGAGCATCTGAAACATAGCAGGTGAATGAATTAATGAATACGTGGATAGATGGATAGATAAATGGATGGATGGGCAGATGGATGAATTGATGGATGGAGGATGAATGGATGAATGATGGAGGGATGAATGGATGATAAAAGGATGGATGAATGGGTAGATGATAGATGAATGGATGGATTAATGAATGGATGGATGATAGATGGATAATGGATTGATAGATGACAGATGAATGGATGGATGGATGAACAGATGATAGATGAATGAATTGATGGATGGATAAATGGATGAATAGATAGATGATAGATGAATGGATGGATGATAGACAAAGGAATAGATGGATGGATGATGGATGAATGGATGGATGGATGGATGGATGAATGGATGGATGATGGATGATGAATGACTAGATAGATGATAGATGAATGAATGGATGGATGATAGATGGATGATGGATGATAGATGAATGGATGGATAGATGAATGGATGGATGGAGGTAGACAGATGGATGAATGAAAGAGTGGATGGATGAATGATCAATGGATGGATAATAGATGAGTGGATGGATAGATGGATGAATGGATGGATGGATGATGAATGAATGGGTGAATGGATGGATGGATGATGGAGAATTAATGAATGGGTGGATGGATGGATGATAGATGAATGGATGATAGATGGATAGATGGATGATCAATGGATAGATGGATGATAGATGAGTAGATGGATAGATGGATGGGTGGGTGACTGGACGGATGGATGATAGATGGATGAATGAATGAGTGGATGGATGGATGAATGAATGGGTAGATGGATGAATGGATAATAGATGAGTGGACGGATGGATGATAGATGTGTGGATGATAGATGGATAGATGGATGAATGGGTGGATGGATGGATGATCAATGAATAGGTGGATGGATAAATGGATAGATGGAGAGATGGATGGATGGATAAATGACAGATGGAAAGATGAGTAGATAGATGTATGGGGGGCTGATGGATGAACCACACAGCTCATAAGTGTCAGACTCTATAATCAAACTCAGGTGTCCCAACTCCAAGTCTTGTGCTTTTCATCCCCTAGTCATGGCATTCCCTATAATATCAATGAATGAAGGAGAAGTTTAATTTCTATTCATGAAAGAACACATTATCTATTAATGAGAACACATTTCATATGGATGCTATTTCTTATAGGGTGAAAGAAATAGGCTGACCAATTCTTCCCAGCAATTTAAGAAAATGAAGAGTGAGGAGAAGCAGGTTGTCCCAGCACCTCGACCAACAGTCACCTGATGATCAGCCCAGGGGCCTGGGACCCAAATCTAGAGATTCTGAGTGAGTGGGCCTGGGTGTGGCCTGGGTGTGGCCTGGGTGTAGCCTGGGTGTGGCCTGGGTGTGGCCTGGGTGTGGCCTGGGTGTGGCCCGGGACCGTGTTTACTTTTTTAGTTTCCCAAATGCTTTGGATGAGAACCAGCAAATGAGTCAAGAAAGAGAAAGAGCAAGAAGGAAAGAGAGAAAACCAAAATAGCAGTGGCCTAAAGGATGGGAAAGTTTCTTTCTTCCTGGTATAAAAGTGGAGGTCAGAGTCCAGGCCTGCCTTGGCCCCTTGCCCACAGTGTTCTGGGGAAGCCAGATCCCTCCAAGGTCTGGGCCCCATGGCCCTAAAGAAGAAAGTGGCAGGCAGGGCACAGCGGCTCACATTTGTAATCCCAGCACTTTGGGAGGCTGAGGCAGGCGGATCATGAGGTCAGGAGTTCAAGACTATCCTGGCCAACACAGTGATACCCCGTCTCTACTAAAAATACTAAAATTATCTGGGCGTGGTGGCAGGCACCTCTAATCCCAGCTACTTGGGAGGCTAAGGCAGAAGAATCACTTGAACACAGGAGGCAGAGATTGCAGTGAGCCAAGATCGTGCCACTGCACTCCAGCCTGGACGACAGAGCTAGACTCCATCTCAAAAAAAAAAAGAAGAAAAAGAAAGTGGCAGACGGTGGGCACAGACATCTTTTAAGGAAGGTGTACCTCTAAATGTTGTCACATGACTATTCCATTGACACCTCATTGGTCAGAACTTATTCACATGGCCCCACTTAACTGCCAGGAGGTTGGAATTCGTTTTTATTCCTGCCAGCCATGTACCAGCAAAAGCTGGGGACTTGATTCCTAGGAAAAGAGATGAGGACAGATACTGTGGGATAACTGGTGGGTTCTCTCTCAATACCCAAAGCACACAATTTCCCCCAAACCAATTTTTTTTTTTCAAAATAAGATGATAGTCCATATAGAAAATAAAATGTTTGTTCTGGAAAATTGATTTGGGGTTTTGAAAATGCGTGCAGTGTAATTGGCTGTTGGGAGTCTTAAGCTGAGGGGGACAGACATGCCATTTTTTGCATCTTTTGAATAAAACAGCTTTTTCTTGATGAATGGATAAATGGGTAAACATTTGTGCATGCATGCACACGCACACACACACGCACGTGCACACACATGCACGCGCACACACATACACACACACTCAAGCCTGATTATAGCTTGAGTTATTATCTCTTAAAAACCTACTCGATGTATTTACCCAGTGTCAGAAAACTTCACTGGCTTGATATTAAGCAGCTCAAAACATTTCATTATGTAACTTTGTGCCTGACCTCTTGAAGCCTCAGTCTTTTCATCCGTAGATGGGTATGGCAATAGATGATGCCCCCCAGGGTTGCTGAGAGGAGCATGTTACATTCCGCATGTGAAGAACTTAGCGCCATGCTGACACGTAGCAGCTCTCAGTGAATATTAACCATTAGTGTTTCTATTATTATAGGCCTTTCAGAAGTCTCTCAAGAGTTCCACATTTCAAAACAGTTGCTTTTCTGAATACACGCTGGTGGAAAGGAATTGGCTGCATCTTTTCCTTAGCTGACTAAACAAAGTCATCAACTCACCTTCAGACCGAATGAGGGGTCCCCAGGACATCTGGTGTGTGGCAGAGGTTTCACTGTTTTTCAGCAACCGAAAGTTACTGCAATTCTGGGTTTTTTTTCCAAGGAGAGAAACATCAAATCAGTTGAACATTTCTGAGAAAGTAGCTCACTATTAAGGATGGTCATCTGATTCATACGATTTTATCCTGCTGAAAGTTGCAAGGCAAGGGGGCTGAGTTTAGGCAGAAGAGTGGGAGACCTGGTGAGACCAGCGTAGGGTCCCGATGCTGCAAGAGGCAGGCCCAGGCATCAGTGGGGAAGGAGGTGGGGTCTGCAGGAGCAGCAGGCTGGGGCAGACCCTTGAGCTGCTTTTGGTTCCTAGAGCTGGTTCCTTGGATCCCTTGAGGACCGTATCTTGGCCACAGGCCTCAAAGTCCCTCTGTGTTCTCCAAAGGCTGTGGCAGCCTTTGCTCCTCTTTACATCTTGGCCTTACAAAAAAGACTGCCTGGCTCAGTGACACTGCGGGATCTGCGTACTATGTGCCTGAGATGGGTTGCAACATATCCTCCAAAAAGGGATCGAAGTCCTAAACCCCAGCACCTGTGAATGTGACCTTATTTGGAAACAGATAATCCACTATGGCTGGTGTCCTTATGTAAAGGGGAAATTTGGACACAGACACAGATGTGTGCCGAGGGAAGGCGAAGCAAAGAGACAGCGAAAATGCCATCTACCAGCCAAGGAACGCCCCAGGCCACCAGAGGCTGGGAGAGAGCCCTGGGACGAATCCTTCCTTTATAACTCTCAGAGGGAACCAGCCTGGCTGACACCTCTATCTTGGACTTCCTGACTCCAGAACTGAGACAGTAAGTGTGGGAAGTAGAAAAGCCCCTTTTTAGTTTCTTTTCTTGATAAATGACAAGTGTGCTAATGACTTTGTGAAGCCCTATCCTATGTAGCTGTTAGACACGCCATGCTTACAGGCATGTAGTATACTCTACATCCTTGTACTTTAACCAAGATATCTGTGCTGGACGTGCTCACAGGCATGTCCCAGCTCTCCATTGCTGTTACCTGTTTAGAAAAGTTTTAAGTTGTTAGCCAATCGGGTTTTAGTTTAGATTGTGAGGTCTGGCTCCAGCCAACGGAGATCAGACACAGCAGTGAGGACGGCCCCAAATGCGTAAGGGATAAATGTGTCTGTTTTCCTTTGTTCATTGTACTCTCACGGCACAATGGCTAGCGAGGGTGCCCTTCCTGCAGCCCAGGAAATACAAATTGTGTTGCTGAAAGATCCTTTGTCTCAGTGCTGATTTTTCTTTGCGGCACCGAGCATCTATTTCCAACAATAAATGTCCATTGCTTACACCATTCAGTTTGTGGCGCATTCTTACAGCAGCCTGGAAAGCTCATGCACTAACCATCCTAAAGTAGCTTGGGAGAAAACGCCATGTGCAGTGCTCTTATTGTGAAGAACTTGAGAGCCAGCCACTCCCTGCAGAGACAAATCCTGGCGGTGGCTGTCACTGCTCCTGTCGTCTCTGAGGCTCCGATGGAACCATGGGCAGGCTCCTCGTGTGTGGCCTTCAGCCTGCTGCCATTAGAACCTGAGGTTCCTTCTGTCCCATTGCTCAGGAAGATCTACTGTTTCAGCAAAATGAACATGAACTGAATCAGCCTTCCTTGTGTGTCTTCCCTATCCACATCCTGCAGGGGTTCAGAGCTTGATCACCTAGGAAAACAGCTGCGTTCTGTGACGTGTGCTCAGGTGAGCGCAGAAATGAGCACACCCTCCAAGGAGAGAGTTGCATTCAGTCACTGAGCAAAAGGCGCTGGAGCACTTTAAGCTGTCCCCTGCCTCAGACAACAGTGGCCAACACGTGGCCACCTCATGTACTTGTCTGTGGTACAAAGAACAGTTTTCAAACCTCAGGATTACAAAGCATATTTCAAATTCAAAAGTCTAAGGACACAGGAATGTAAAATTACCCCTGCGTGAATCTTGAACAAAGGACAGGGAAAAAATCTTCATTAAATAACAGAGCGGCTGATATTTGGTATGTTCCATCCATGTTAAAGAGACATTTTTATATGCGTAAGTCACCTTAGTAGCACTAGGTGTCACAGCAAGACAGTGCCGATGTGACAGTCGGTTGAACACGATAGCCTGAAGAGGGACTTAGCTCAGTCACTGGGAAATGGGAAATGCCACCAATTCACAGGGGTCCTCCAGCCAAGGGCTGCCTGCTGTGGAAATACCATTTCAGACACGGAGTCTGCAGGACAAGCACAGCGACAGCTCCCCGGCCACTTGAGCCCCAGGCTTTTATTAACAGAGCCTTTCGTTGTAACAGTAAGGAACCCGAATCCAACCAAATGTTTAGAAAACCAGAAAAACACTTACGATTTTGCACGTGGCCCCGGGGGAGTCCATGCAGATGCGGAGTTTGCAGTGCAGGTAGACCATGGAGTTGTGGATGAAGGAGAAGATCCTCAGCTTGAACCGGGCCTTGCTGGAGTAGCCGTTCTCAATCATGTGGGTGTATGTGTTGGGCACGGGGCAGCTGAGAAGACAGGAAATGGGACTCCGGTTGTCAGCAAGCCCCGCTGTCCTTCTTCTCAGATGAGCTTACTCACGACTACATCTGAAGACACTCACAGATCCCACAGGCTCCGGGGGAGTCGAGGACAGCCCGCCTCATTTATTCCCCCAAACGCAGGTCCTTGACAGCACTCGCCTAGAAGTCCCACAGAGCCCAGGGCCGGCCACACAACCAGCCAGGCAACAGCAGTGCCGGCACGAGCCCCACCTGTTGTTAACGAAGCATTGCTGGTTGGGGGTCCCTGTACTCCTGAGCCCTCCCTGTTGGTAATGAAGCTCCAGCATTGCTGGATGGGGGTTCCTGTGCTCCTGAGCCCTACCTGTTGGTAATAAAGCCTGGGCATTGCTGGATGGGGGTTCCTGTGCTCCTGAGCCCTCCCTGTTGGTAATAAAGCCTGGGCATTGCTGGATGGGGGTTCCTGTGCTCCTGAGCCCTCCCTGTTGGTAATAAAGCCTGGACATTGCTGGATGGGGGTTCCTGTGCTTCTGAGCCCTCCCTGTTGGTAATAAAGCCTGGGCATTGCGGGATGGGGGTTCCTGTGCTCCTGAGCCCTCCCTGTTGGTAATAAAGCCTGGGCATTGCGGGATGGGGGTTCCTGTGCTCCTGAGCCCTCCCTGTTGGTAATAAAGCCTGGGCATTGCAGGATGGGGGTTCCTGTGCTCCTGAGCCCTCCCTGTTGGTAATAAAGCCTGGGCATTGCAGGATGGGGGTTCCTGTGCTCCTGAGCCCTCCCTGTTGGTAATAAAGCCTGGGCATTGCTGGATGGGGGTTCCTGTGCTCCTGAGCCCTCCCTGTTGGTAATAAAGCCTGGGCATTGCGGGATGGGGGTTCCTGTGCTCCTGAGCCCTCCCTGTTGGTAATAAAGCCTGGGCATTGCAGGATGGGGGTTCCTGTGCTCCTGAGCCCTCCCTGTTGGTAATAAAGCCTGGGCATTGCGGGATGGGGGTTCCTGTGCTCCTGAGCCCTCCCTGTTGGTAATAAAGCCTGGGCATTGCGGGATGGGGGTTCCTGTGCTCCTGAGCTCTACTTATTGGTAATAAAGCCTGGGCATTGCAGGATGGGGGTTCCTGTGCTCCTGAGCCCTCCCTGTTGGTAATAAAGCCTGGGCATTGCAGGATGGGGGTTCCTGTGCTCCTGAGCCCTCCCTGTTGGTAATAAAGCCTGGGCATTGCAGGATGGGGGTTCCTGTGCTCCTGAGCCCTCCCTGTTGGTAATAAAGCCTGGGCATTGCTGGATGGGGGTTCCTGTGCTCCTGAGCCCTCCCTGTTGGTAATAAAGCCTGGGCATTGCAGGATGGGGGTTCCTGTGCTCCTGAGCTCTACTTATTGGTAATAAAGCCTGGGCATTGCAGGATGGGGGTTCCTGTGCTCCTGAGCTCTACTTATTGGTAATAAAGCCTGGGCATTGCAGGATGGGGGTTCCTGTGCTCCTGAGCCCTCCCTGTTGGTAATAAAGCCTGGGCATTGCAGGATGGGGGTTCCTGTGCTCCTGAGCTCTACTTATTGGTAATAAAGCCTGGGCATTGCAGGATGGGGGTCCCTGTGCTCCTGAGCCCTCCCTGTTGGTAATAAAGCCTGGGCATTGCAGGATGGGGGTTCCTGTGCTCCTGAGCTCTACTTATTGGTAATAAAGCCTGGGCATTGCAGGATGGGGGTTCCTGTGCTCCTGAGCCCTCCCTGTTGGTAATAAAGCCTGGGCATTGCAGGATGGGGGTTCCTGTGCTCCTGAGCTCTACTTATTGGTAAAAGCCTGGACATTGCTGGATGGGGGTCCCTGTGCTCCTGAGCCCTCCCTGTTGGTAATAAAGCCTGGGCATTGCAGGATGGGGGTTCCTGTGCTCCTGAGCTCTACTTATTGGTAATAAAGCCTGGGCATTGCAGGATGGGGGTTCCTGTGCTCCTGAGCCCTCCCTGTTGGTAATAAAGCCTGGGCATTGCAGGATGGGGGTTCCTGTGCTCCTGAGCTCTACTTATTGGTAATAAAGCCTGGACATTGCAGGATGGGGGTCCCTGTGCTCCTGAGCCCTCCCTGTTGGTAATAAAGCCTGGGCATTGCAGGATGGAGGTTCCTGTGCTCCTGAGCTCTACTTATTGGTAATAAAGCCTGGGCATTGCGGGATGGGGGTTCCTGTGCTCCTGAGCTCTACTTATTGGTAATAAAGCCTGGGCATTGCAGGATGGGGGTTCCTGTGCTCCTGAGCCCTCCCTGTTGGTAATAAAGCCTGGGCATTGCAGGATGGGGGTTCCTGTGCTCCTGAGCTCTACTTATTGGTAATAAAGCCTGGACATTGCTGGATGGGGGTCCCTGTGCTCCTGAGCCCTCCCTGTTGGTAATAAAGCCTGGGCATTGCAGGATGGGGGTTCCTGTGCTCCTGAGCCCTCCCTGTTGGTAATAAAGCCTGGGCATTGCGGGATGGGGGTTCCTGTGCTCCTGAGCTCTACTTATTGGTAATAAAGCCTGGGCATTGCAGGATGGGGGTTCCTGTGCTCCTGAGCCCTCCCTGTTGGTAATAAAGCCTGGGCATTGCAGGATGGGGGTTCCTGTGCTCCTGAGCTCTACTTATTGGTAATAAAGCCTGGGCATTGCGGGATGGGGGTTCCTGTGCTCCTGAGCTCTACTTATTGGTAATAAAGCCTGGGCATTGCGGGATGGGGGTTCCTGTGCTCCTGAGCTCTACTTATTGGTAATAAAGCCTGGGCATTGCGGGATGGGGGTTCCTGTGCTCCTGAGCTCTACTTATTGGTAATAAAGCCTGGGCATTGCGGGATGGGGGTTCCTGTGCTCCTGAGCTCTACTTATTGGTAATAAAGCCTGGGCATTGCGGGATGGGGGTTCCTGTGCTCCTGAGCTCTACTTATTGGTAATAAAGCCTGGGCATTGCGGGATGGGGGTTCCTGTGCTCCTGAGCTCTACTTATTGGTAATAAAGCCTGGGCATTGCGGGATGGGGGTTCCTGTGCTCCTGAGCTCTACTTATTGGTAATAAAGCCTGGGCATTGCGGGATGGGGGTTCCTGTGCTCCTGAGCTCTACTTATTGGTAATAAAGCCTGGACATTGCGGGATGGGGGTCCCTGTGCTCCTGAGCCCTCCCTGTTGGTAATAAAGCCTGGGCATTGCAGGATGGGGGTTCCTGTGCTCCTGAGCTCTACTTATTGGTAAAAGCCTGGGCATTGCAGGATGGGGGTTCCTGTGCTCCTGAGCCCTCCCTGTTGGTAATAAAGCCTGGGCATTGCAGGATGGGGGTTCCTGTGCTCCTGAGCCCTACTTATTGGTAATAAAGCCTGGGCATTGCGGGATGGGGGTTTCTGTGCTCCTGAGCTCTACTTATTGGTAATAAAGCCTGGGCATTGCGGGATGGGGGTTTCTGTGCTCCTGAGCTCTACTTATTGGCAATAAAGCCTGGGCATTGCGGGATGGGGGTTCCTGTGCTCCTGAGCCCTCCCTGTTGGTAATAAAGCCTGGGCATTGCGGGATGGGGGTCCCTGTGCTCCTGAGCTCTACTTATTGGTAATAAAGCCTGGGCATTGCAGGATGGGGGTCCCTGTGCTCCTGAGCCCTCCCTGTTGGTAATAAAGCCTGGGCATTGCGGGATGGGGGTCCCTGTGCTCCTGAGCTCTACTTATTGGTAATAAAGCCTGGGCATTGCAGGATGGGGGTCCCTGTGCTCCTGAGCCCTCCCTGTTGGTAATAAAGCCTGGGCATTGCGGGATGGGGGTCCCTGTGCTCCTGAGCTCTACTTATTGGTAATAAAGCCTGGGCATTGCAGGATGGGGGTCCCTGTGCTCCTGAGCCCTCCCTGTTGGTAATAAAGCCTGGGCATTGCGGGATGGGGGTCCCTGTGCTCCTGAGCTCTACTTATTGGTAATAAAGCCTGGACATTGCTGGATGGGGGTCCCTGTGCTCCTGAGCCCTCCCTGTTGGTAATAAAGCCTGGGCATTGCGGGATGGGGGTTCCTGTGCTCCTGAGCCCTCCCTGTTGGTAATAAAGCCTGGGCATTGCAGGATGGGGGTTCCTGTGCTCCTGAGCCCTCCCTGTTGGTAATAAAGCCTGGGCATTGCGGGATGGGGGTTCCTGTGCTCCTGAGCCCTCCCTGTTGGTAATAAAGCCTGGGCATTGCGGGATGGGGGTTCCTGTGCTCCTGAGCCCTCCCTGTTGGTAATAAAGCCTGGGCATTGCAGGATGGGGGTCCCTGTGCTCCTGAGCTCTACTTATTGGTAATAAAGCCTGGGCATTGCTGGATGGGGGTTCCTGTGCTCCGGAGCCCTACCTGTTGGTAATGAAGCGGAAGGTGACCGGGTCCCGGGCGTTGCTGGACGGGGTTGCCCAGCACTCCATCAGGACCACCTTGAGGTTGCTTTTCTGCCTGTAGAGCCCCACTTCGATCTTGACGTCTTCGCTGGCGGACACACTGTAATTCTGAGGTATGGGAGAGTCTCCAATGAACAACTGCATTTCGGTAACAAAATTCCCAGCGCCGTGGAGGTCCTCGATGACGGTGTAAACCCTGCAACAGGGAGCAGCTTGTGGGAGGTGTGTTTCAGGAGGTGCATTATCACGGCCCCTCCCGTTCCCACTTCTCCCCCAACATGCAGCTCCAGAGGAGCGTGTGAATGAACGAGAAGACCCACCAGCCCCAAATGAGAGCACGTGGAGGCCGTTTCTTCAGGGCAGGCTGGCCCAGGGGTTGCCTCCCTAACTTCTGATGGTGGAGGTGGCAGGTTAGGGGACCACCTAGCATAGCAAAAGTGGTGCCTGATGCAGGCTGTGGGTGGGCGCCCGCCAGTGGCTCACTGCAAGTGGGACCATCCGATGGGATTGGCCAGGGGACATACTTGGCCTTCTCCAGCTGGCCCTGAGTGGAAAGTGGGAATGAAGGCTGGGGAGCCAGCAGCTGCCAGTGCAGCCCGGCCACGCCCATTTGCATATTTCGTCTCAATGAAGGGTCCATAAGTGGTTGAAATCCTAAAGAACCCTCAAAGGGCAGGTGCTCTAGGGGCACGTGGCACGGAGCAGTGGGGGTGCTTCTCCCTTACCCCCATTCTGGGGTGAAGCCGGAGGATGTCAGCAGGTCATTCTGGAAGGCACAATAGATGGGGCTCAGGATCTTCAGGTAGTGGATGATGCCCTCTGGGGGCAAGTCGTTCCTCAGCGTGGTCCTCACCACCGTGCTTGTCACGTTCTGATCACAAAACGAAGTGTGAGGAGTTCCCAGGCCCCAGCTGGCTCCCCATGCCCTGCTGTGGACCACGGCTCTAGGTGGTGGCGTGGACGGGGGTAGGGGTCTTTTCTAAAGCCTCTCACCAGAAGCATCGAGACCCTGATGAATCTCCCAACCATAAATCACCTAAGAGAGCCTAAGGGTCGGCCTCTGCTGATTCCCTGTTGACCCGAGGGGGCAAAACCTGAGCCTGTGAGGATTTCATGGCAGTTGCACAAATAAGCCTTTCTGGGAAACTTAGTTTCTGACAAGTGTCAAAAACCTCCAAGAGCTCCTGTGGATTCCAGGACCTGGGTGACTCATCAGAGACACATTTCCCTTTTCTTTCCACGTGCCCCAAACCACACTGCCCTTAATAATCAAGCCAGGTGTAGCTCAGAAAAACAGAGGTAGCTGCTGGCTGCAGAGCCCCAGCCCCGGGAGGCGCTGCCTCTCCACTGGAACCACAGGGGTGCAGGGGTGCTCTGAGCAACAGGCAGGCTGTCCTGAACCCTCAGCCCCTCCACCTAGCCCCACAGCCCTGCAGGAGCCCTGCGTAGGCTCAAGGATGCTGTAGCAGGCTGGGCCACATGCACCTCTCACCCCAGACCTCCCTCACCGTAGAAGCTGCCGAGAAGCCACAGTAGCCACGGATCACTGCCCATCCCCCCTGCAGACAGCCCTCAGGGCTGCCACTGCCTGGCCTCCTCGTGGGCATCTAAGAATCTTTAAGGGAATAAAAACTAATCCCGGGCAGTTCTCCTTAAGTTGTGCAGGTTGAGGGCTTGAGAGGGAACGTTTCGTAGCTGTTGAAATGGTGCAGGTCCGTCCTTCAGCCCAGGGAGGGTCCGAGGAGCCCCCGAGGGAGTGGAATGAGCTCAGCAGAGTGAGCTGTGCCTCCCAAGCAAGCTCGTGCTCTGTGACGGCCTCAGACCATCCACCTGAGTCCCTCAGCTTCCTGGCCACCCTCAGTCCCAGCTCCAGGCTCCAAGCAGTCTCCACACAATGGGGGCACCTGACGTCCCAACTTCCCCACTTCGTCTCTCGGCCTCTGGGACTTTCTGGCCTCTGCTCCCCAGGGCTAGCTCCTTACCCAGCCCCGAGGTCCACGTCCCAGCTCCTGCTGAGGACACCCTACCACCCCGTTCCTACCTTGTCGGCTCCCAGCCATTGACGACCCATGCCCAAGGGAGCGGGCTCTGGGTTTCATCTGCCAGCTTTGCCCCGCCCAGTACCAGAGGTCACCCCTTCCCCTCTAGGGGGTGTGTCCAGAGCCCCAACCAGAAGCAGCGCCCCCCACCAAGGCACCTCGAGAGGCAGAGCCACAGGGACGGGGCTGCTTCTCCGAGGTAGGACAGCTTAGACCCTAAACTCCCACGGACCCCGCTGAGCACCCACACACTCATATCCACACACAACTGCTTGGCTTTTCCTGCCTCTTCTGGTCCCCTGGCTCTCCATCCTGTCTGTGCAGGGAGGAGCTTTAAGCCCTGATTCAGAAGCCTGCCCCAGGCACTTTGCACCAGAGTCCCTGCTGGGTGGACTCACATCTCCCTTCTGCTTCTGGGGTACAGCCTGGTCCCTGGTTGAGAACTCAGTCCTATCCTGATGCCCCTTGCTGGGTTCCCCTCGGAGTGCAGAGTCTTGCCTGACCCCCCCCATCAAGGCCCATACGACCTAGAGCCGTCTGCGCCCTAGCGTGTATCCTGAGCCCTGCGCCCTAGTGTGTATCCCAAGCCCTGTGCCCGAGCATGTGTCCTGCGTCCTGAGCCCTCTGCTCCCTGGCGTGCATCCTGAGCCCTGTGCCCGAGCGTGTGTCCTGAGCCTGGCTCTCCTGCCTTACACTCTGCATGACGGTCCCGCACTCGCTCCAGCCAGCCTCCAGAAGCACGTGCGTGCCATTGCTGAGGCTCACGTTGCAGGAGGGGTGGCTCAGATACAGCGAGGACTCAGGGATGGATTCCTGCTGCAGGAAGCGCTTCTGGATGGCGACAACCACCTTCTCGATCTCACAGAGCACCCTGACTGCTCCGGTCAGGTTCAGCCGTTGGGGCAGGCCCTGGGGGGTGGGGCTGGTGCCTTGCACAAAGGCAGCCTTGGTCCCTGCTGCCATGAGGGGCCTCTCTGGGTGGGTGGCGCTCTCGTTGCCTGTAGAGTCACCTGCAAGGCACAAAGAGGAACAGGCAAAGAGTGGCTCTGTGTTTGGGGTTGGCATGGAGGGGAGGGAGTAAGGAGCAGAGTGGAGCTGCCCTGCACTCTGCAGCACCCACACCTGGGAACCACATGTTCCAGCCACAACCACACACACACGTGCACACACACCACATACACATGCAGACATGCATGCACACACATGCATACCCACATGCTCACACACATGCATGCACACGCATGCATACCCACACGCTCACACATGCATGCACACATTTACATGCACGCACACACATGTATGCACGTGCACTCATATATGCACATACACACATGCACACAGTCACACATGTACACACATGCACATACACAGGACATGCACACACCAAGTCCACTAAGGCCCCTCTTAACTGCAAAAGTGCTGGTTGGAAAGAGTGGCCGAGAGGAAACATTCCCCTTGTCGCTTGTCCAAGGCTGCGTGTTTCACAAGTCAGTCGTTCAGCATCTGTAGGTTCACACCTCATGTATGTATGCACTTTCTCTTCATGGATGTCAGAGCTAGCACTCGGAGAGATAAGGCACTGCCCAGAAGCCTGGACACGTATGAAAGAATGGGAAGGAACATGCACACACGCACGTACACATACGTCACATGCACACATGTGACCACAACTCACACACACTGCAAACTTGCCCAGGACATAAAAATACGACCTCATAGGGACAAGAAGCCCTTTGCACGTGAATGTCCTTAAAAAACCCGATGATGAGACAGTATTCAGAAAAAAATGATGACATTACCTTCACAGGGTCTCTCAGAATATTGTACAGAGAAGTCGGGGGCTCCTCCCTCGCAGCTGCAAGTGAAAGAGCCGAGGGTGTTTCGGCAGGCTGTCCCCGGCAAACAGTCATCCTCCTTCCTTTCACACTCGTCGTAATCTACACAACATTTAGAACACAAAACCCAAGAACACCCCTGGGGACTTGCAGGCTCCCACAGCCTGCTGGGGGCGACAGCGGGGGGTGGGGGGGGTTGTGCATCTCACAGACAAAGCTGGAAACTCCAGCCAGAGCCGTCCACAGTGAAGCTCCCCAATTCTGCTTCCTGCTGCTGGGGCCGGGAGTGGGCTAGGGATGTGTGCAGGGCTGTTCTGGAAGGAGGAGTCTGGCCCAAGGCCGGGGTGGGAGGTGGGCATCTGGGCAGAGCACAGCCATCCCTTCAGTTCCAGGGAGTGACCAGGAGATGCCCAGGCCCCGAGACCCACCTTGGTCCAGCCCAAGGCACCCAGGCTGTAAGCCCACCCCGGGCAAAAGGCCCTCAGGCTGTAAGCCCACCCCGGGCAAAAGGCACCCAGGCTGTAAGCCCACCCCCGGGCAAAAGGCACCCAGGCTGTAAGCCCATTCCCGGGCAAAAGGCACCCAGGCTGTAAGCCCACCCCCGGGCAAAAGGCACCCAGGCTGTAAGCCCACCCCCGGGCAAAAGGCACCCAGGCTGTAAGCCCACCCCCGGGCAAAAGGCACCCAGGCTGTAAGCCCACCCCGGGCAAAAGGCACCCAGGCTGTAAGCCCAACCCCGGGCAAAAGGCACCCAGGCTGTAAGCCCACCCCCGGGCAAAAGGCACCCAGGCTGTTTGTCTTTCACCATGACACTCAGCCGCTCACTGACAGCAAAACAGGTTTACTGCAGAACATGGATAAGAACCAGAAAAGCATGGCCAGGGGCATGTTGGCATGTGGGCCTACTTCCTTCCGGCCATTTAAAATGCAGCCAGGCTCTGAGAGCACAGCTTGCCCCTGCTACCAACTAGCAGCATGCAAATCCACAAGCCTCGATTCCCATGTTTGCACAACAAGCCGGGGCAGGGACACGCAGTAACTGGGCACCTTCTCTCTTACTAGAGCAACTGGTGATTTCCAGCTCTGGCATTTGAAGTAACACTGAAGATGAACATCTTTGTATTTAAACTACAACCCAAACTGAGACTAAATTCACTGGGACACAGTCATTAGAGGTGATGTTTCAGAATGGAAGTGGATGGCCACTTTGAAAGCACGTGGCTTCTATCACTGAATTCCTTTCCAGGAAGTGTAAGCACGTCCTCCTGCCCCAGGAATCTGTGTAAACACCTGCCTCACTACACTTTCACCAGGAAAAAGAAGACCTTTTTTGCAGTTTGATGGGCAAAGAGTACAAGGCGTTTTAATGGGGAAGCCGGTGGTCACCACAGCTGTGTCGGTCGCCCGTGTTTCTTCTTTCACTCCTCATCTGTGTCGCTCTTCCGTGCATTTATCCATCAGGATCTCATCTATTTGTGTGATCTCTCTATATACTTGGGATACCAATACGTCATCAAATTATTGAAAGTTTTTTTTAACTTTGCTTTAAAATTGTGCCTTATTTTGATTTATCCCTGTGTAGTATCTCATCCTTTTCCTCTGAAAATCGTGTTTTCCTTAGGAAGTCCTTCTTATTCTAAACGTCAAAAAGATACTAGTCTTCAACTTTTAAAAGGCCTTTGGTTTCCGACACATGCATCTATAAGCTGTTCATCATTTATGTTCAAGTATGATAAGGAAAAAGAATCTACGTTGTCTTTTTCTCCCTGCTTTTCTTGTGAATCATTTTTACTGGGATCTCCCTGGGAACGGTGCTTGGGAGGGACATGTCTGCCTTCTGCCCATGAAAACACGTAGCTGAGGAGCAGCAGACCCGGGAAGAAAACAGCACCCCGGGAATCTGCAGATTCACCTGAAGATGTTTTCAGCACTTCAGCCTTCAAAACATTATCATCACAGTAAGAGGGAGGGACAGAGATGTCCCTCTATTCCACATGTTCATCTAATTCCGGGGGAGGAAGGGCCACCACACAGCATCTTTCAGAAGTGCAGGGTAGTGGCTGCCGCTGGTTCGGGAACATGGGAGAGGCGCCGTCCCAGCCTCCCTACCCTGTATGAAGGTGTCTCCTCCGACCACCTCCAGCAGAGGCGCCCCCCAGCCTCCCCACCCTGTATGAAGGTGTCTCCTCCGACCACCTCCAGCAGAGGCGCCCCCCAGCCTCCCTACCCTGTATGAAGGTGTCTCCTCCGACCACCTCCAGCAGAGGTGCCGCCCAGCCTCCCTACCCTGTATGAAGGTGTCTCCTCCGACCACCTCCAGCAGAGGTGCCGCCCAGCCTCCCTACCCTGTATGAAGGTGTCTCCTCCCATCACCTCCAGCAGAGGTGCCGCCCAGCCTCCCTACCCTGTATGAAGGTGTCTCCTCCGACCACCTCCAGCAGAGGCGCCGTCCCAGCCTCCCTACCCTGTATGAAGGTGTCTCCTCCGACCACCTCCAGCAGAGGCGCCCCCCAGCCTCCCTACTCTGTATGAAGGTGTCTCCTCCCATCACCTCCAGCAGAGGTGCCCCCCAGCCTCCCTACCCTGTATGAAGGTGTCTCCTCCCATCACCTCCAGCAGAGGCGCCGCCCAGCCTCCCTACCCTGTATGAAGGTGTCTCCTCCGACCACCTCCAGCAGAGGTGCCGCCCAGCCTCCCCACCCTGTATGAAGGTGTCTCCTCCCATCACCTCCATCAGAGGCGCCGCCCAGCCTCCCTACCCTGTATGAAGGTGTCTCCTCCCATCACCTCCAGCAGAGGCGCCGTCTGGAAGGCGGTGAGGAACGCGGAGGCCACCTCCCGGACATCCAGGTCTGCAATGATCAGCAAGTGAAACTCGACCACGACACTGCCGTTGGTGACACCAATGACTTCCATCCTGACCCCGCCAGCGTCCACGTGCTGACGCAGGGCAGCTGGCAGGGAGTCCCACACCTGTGGGGGAAGAGGCCATGTGAGGGGATCCCCACACTGAGAGAAAACAGGTGCCTGTCCCAAGGCAGCTCCTCCTGGGAGTCTGCCCAGCAGCTGGGCTGGCCCGTGGCACAAAGGTCAAAGCCACAGGCTGGTTCTGGGCCCTTTCCCATCTGCTGTGCTTTCAAGCCCAGCACAAATGCCTGGGAGCGTCTGTGATATGAGAAGAACCCTTGCTTCCCCATAAACCAGCAAACAGCTTCAGAAAGACACCTGTGAGTAGAGGATGGGACTTGGGGCACAGGCAGAGACCCTTCCTCATGGGGCTTAAAATTTGCTGGGAGCTCACAAGGGCTTTTAGAAGCTCATACTCCGGGTTTGCAGCCACAGAGGGCAGGGGCTGAGTGCAGGGTGGTGGGGAGGGAGGCCACTTCTGCTGCTTTCTCTGCAACAGCCTCTTTGCTCCTGGCACTGCTGAACGTGTCCCCTTTCATCCTCCCTCCCTGCCTGTCCCCAGACTGCTTCCCATGAGCATTTCCACCACCCCTACTAGGACAGTAGGTTCCTGCCCCTGAACGGCCTGCGTCTCTTTGCGCAGAGTCACATGCCAGGCACTGTATGATTCCACGCTGACCCACCACGGTCAAAGCACCCAGAAAGGCAAACAACTTTGTAATGAGCATCAATCATCCACAGTGCAAATCTCCTATGGAAAGGGCTCCTCCAGGGGTGGTCCTCACAGGTGCAGTGGCCCGAGGCCCCGGTCATGGACTCACCTCCCAGCCTCTGAGTCACCAAGGGGATCAGATCCATCGTCCCTCTCCGAGACTTTGGACCCCAGGGAGAGCCAGCTGCCCTTGGCACAGGCAGACGACTGTGTTCATGGTTGTCTTCACAATCGGTTCTTCCCTCTCTTTTTCTCTCAGGGGAGTCTGTCATAGTCTTGGACTAAGGTCACTTTCAGCTGCATTTCAAACCAACCTCTAAGCAAAGTTCCAGGCCCCTTGCTAGGAAGTGGGCAGGAACCAGGCACCGAGGCAGGCAGACAACACCTCTGGACATCCACGTCTGCGGTTACCAGCAAGTGAAACCCCGAAGTGTCTCTTAACATCCTACTTCTGTGATTAAGTTGTATAATTATTTGCTGTCCTGAAATTCTAGGCAAACAGAAAAACAGCATCCCCAAAAAACGGACAAAGAGGAAACATTAACCAAGAAACTCGGGAAGGAAATGCAGCCGCCTCATTTGGCCTCCAGAACCCGGTGGAAGGATTCAGCGTTTGTTGTTTAACATGGTAATTACTATTCAACCTTATCAATCAAACCACATTATTAATCAAACCATATTATTAGTCAAACTGTCAACAACTCTTGAATGCACGCAGCGGGAGCTGGGAATGAGCTGGAGCACCGGGACTGCTCCAGAAGGCGGCGGGATCGTTTCATGCATGGGTGAAGCGCTGGGGATTCCAGACCTAGACCACTAGGTGGCAGTGTCAAACCCTCTCTATGCTGAGTCTTTTTTTTTTTTTTGGTGGCGGGGGATGGAGTTTCGCTCATGTTACCCAGGCTGGAGTGCAATGGCACGATCTCGGCTCACCGCAACCTCTGCATCCTGGGTTCAAGCTATTCTCCTGCCTCAGCCTCCCGAGTAGCTGGGACTACAGGCAGGCACCACCATGCCCAGCTAATTTTTGTATTTTTAGTAGAGACGGGGTTTCACCATGTTGACCAGGATGGTCTCGATCTCTTGACCTCGTGATCCACCCGCCTCGGCCTCCCAAAGTGCTGCGATTATAGGTGTGAGCCACCGTGCCCAGACTCAGGGAAAGCTACGATGTGAGATTTCAGGCAAACAAAGTCACTAGATTATGACAAGGGCACTCCCTACACCTCAAGAAGTCCATAAGAATGCACGTCACTAAATGGTAGCAGGTAGACTCCCAGAGAATGCTGAGGGGATGGCAGGGAAGGGTGCAGGAAGGGGCAGGGAAAGAACTTTTGTTGAGGAAGGGCATCGCAGCAATATTTATTTGCTTATTTATTTAATTTAAATAGCATTTCGCTCTTGTTGCCCAGGCTGGAGTGCAATGGCACGATCTCAGCTCACCGCAACCTCCGCCTCCAGGATTCAACAGATTCTCCTGCCTCAGCCTCCTGAGTAGCTGGGATTACAGGCGCACACCACCACATCCGGCTAATTTTGTATTTTTAGTAGAGTTGGGGTTTCTCCATGTTGGTCAGGCTGGTCTTGAACTCCTGACCTCAGGTGATCCGCCCACCACGGCCTCCCAAAGTGCTGAGATTACAGGCGTGAGCCTGCGCGCCTGGCCCCGCAGTACTATTTATAACAGAATGGGGGAGCCACCCAGTGCCTGTCAGTGAATAAATGGATGAGTCTGCATGATAAAGTTGCACCCTAGCCACAAGAAGGAATGCAGGAGGATCGCTTGAACTCGGGAGGCAGAGGTTGTGGTGAGCTGAGATCACACCACTACACTCCAGCCTAGGCAACTACAGCAAAACTCCATCTCAAAGAAATAAATACATAAATAGTGCTGACACATGTTGCCACGTGGATGACACCCAAAAACCTCATTTTAACTGAAAGAAGCCAGAAAAAGTCACATATTGCACAGTTCTATTTCTTTGAAATGTTCACAGTGGACATATCCATAGAGACAGAAAGCAGATTCGTGGTTACCAGGGACTGGAGGAAATAGCAAGAGGGAATGACTTCCTTTTTTTTTTTCTTTCTTTCTTTCTTTTTTTTTTTTTTTTTTGAGATGGAGTCTTGCTCTGTTGCCCAGGCTGGAGTGCAATGGTGAGATCTCAGCTCACTGCAACCTCTGCCTCCCGAGTTCAAGCAATTCTCCTGACTCAGCCTCCTGAGTAGCTGGAATTACAGGTGTGTACCACCACGCCTGGCTAATTTTTGTATTTTTAGTAGAGATGGGGTTTCATCTTGTTGGTCAGGCTGATCTCGAATGCCTGACCTCAGGTGATGCACCTGCCTTAGCCTCCCAAATTGCTTGGATTACAGGTGTGAGTCACTGTGCCCAGCTGGGAGTAACTTCTAATGGGTGTGAGGTTTCTTTCTGGGTGATAAAAATGTTCTGGAATTAGATAGTGGTGATGGTTGCACAATTTTGCAAAACAGTCTAAACTACTGAACTCTACAGTTTAAAAGTGAAGATTTTATGGTCTATGAAACAGACCTCATTTTGTAAAGCCTTTAAAAAAAAAAAAAAAAAAAGGACGGAATTTCTGCTTCATAGGTTCCACAACTGACAAACAGGTTTCACTGGACAGAAAACCACGTGAAGCAAGGATGTGGCAGAGGAAGGGTCGTGTCTGCTGACTGTGTCTGTACCAGGGAGGATCCAGGGACACTCAGAGAGCCAGGTCAGAGTTTAAGGTCCTGGCTTCCCTCAGAAATGAGGAGTTCATAGGACCTTCAAGTCAAATTCCTAGTTGGATGAAACTAGAATTCTTTTTTTTTTAGACAGGGTCTCACTCTGTTGTACAGTTTGGAGTGCAATGGCACGATCTCAGCTTACTGCAGCCTCTGCCTCCCAGGTTCAAGAGATTCTCCTGTCTTAGCCTCCCAAGTGGCTGGAATCACAGGCATGCGCCACCAGGACTGGCTAATTTTTGTATTTTTTTTTATGGATATGGGGTTTTGCCATGTTGCCCAGGCTGGTCTCGAACCCCTGAGCTCAGGCAACACGCCGCCTCTGCCTCCCAAAGTGCTAGGATTACAGACATGAGCCACGGCACCTGCCAAGAATTCAATCAGCCTTCCTCCCCTTCCCTCCTGAAAGGAATTAAGGGCTGATCTCGCCAACTCACCGTCCTGAAGAATAGTTCTAGGAAACGTCGATACTCCTGGCTGCTTGCATTACCAAAGGATTCTGAGTACCCAACATTTGCGATTCTGACCTTTCCAGTGAGCTTCTGGGCTGCTGCAGGATGGAGGATAAGCACATTTGGAATTGGCAATGTATTCGATAACAGACTATCATTTCAGTCTTAAAAAGCATATTCTCACATCCAGGAAGAGCATCACACCAAGGCTGGCCTGTGCTCTAGAAGGAAGGAATAGTGCCAGGGGCCCGGGGAGACAGCCCACCAGATTCAGGAGGACACAGGACAAAGCCTGAGCCCAGTGGGAGAACCTTCCAGAGTCAGCCCGGCCCCTGCAACTCTCCCCACAACTCACACACAGCCTTCCTTCCTTGCTGCCGTTACCCATGCCGGGGTGTTCAAACAATTTACCAGCAAGCTGGCGTGACTTAGAGCATGTGGAGGCACCATTAAATAACTTTGCCAGGGCCACAGGTGCAAACTGGGCTGTCCCAGGTACACCAGGACTCAGGACCCTGGCCAGGTCTCTGCTCAGAGCCCATATGCCCACAGGGTGCCCAGGAGCCTTGTTTAGAGCGGGCCCTTCTTCCTCCCGAAGCAGCCCCACCTCCCCTGGTCTATGGACAATCCCTGTTTTGGTATCACCTGTTCCATCTGAATCTTTTCCCTCCATGGAGGGCTTCTAGGAGTATGTGGCACATAAACGTGGCCCAGAAATGTTGCCACCCCATCCTGGCCTTGGCATGGCAGCCACGCCAGTGTTCAGTCAGTCCGTCTAGATATTTGTGAAGCACCTGCCATGTGCCAGAGGCATTCTAGATAGTGAAGAAGAAAGACACAGCTCTCCTCTCGGGGGCTTAGAGTCCATCTCCCCAGAGTTTCTCACTCAGGCTCAAGACAAACCACAGAGCCATTCTGCTATGCATTCCTGGGCCAACCCCAAACTCTATGTCCTTGACATCATTGCTATTGCTGCCCCTGAGGGCCTCTGCTTCAGTCTCCATGGCTGGCATGGGCAGCCCAGTCTGAAAGCCATCAGCAGCAGGTCATGTGCACAGGTGAGAGCAGGCTCTGGGTCCCACATGCAGCCTGTCCCTTCCAGAGCAGCTGAGACCTTCGGAGGCCCAGCTCTGGCTCTCAGACACCAGGGCCACCGTGCCTGACCACCCAGCCAGCACTAATCTCCCTCCTCTCCAGCTGGTCGTGAACTTGCACAATTAACGCCATGCACTCCATCTGTTGTATAACTTCCCCGGCATGGCTGACCAGGGCTTTACAGCATGGTCTGTCCCCTGGTGTACCTGGGACAGACGTTCTAAACTCTTGTTACTGCATCCCAATAGGCCATCTTACACCTCCCTCAAGGGGTGCGCACCCCACTGCACAGACCACTGCTGGCAACGCTTGGGAAGCTGCCCAGGATGTGAAAACTGACCTGCAGCCTCACACGCCCCTGACTATTTGGGAAACGTACACAGAAGAAAATACCCACGTTTCAATGCTAATGGAAAAAATAGGAATTTCATCCAAATACATGTAATGTTGTCACTGCTCAGCTCCAAGCAGCAGTCTCTGTTTGATTCATTACTGCTCAGTTCTTTACTTTGTGGCCCGGGCTCTGGCTCCAGCAGGCTGCTCACAGATCATCTGTGTGCCTGTTGGTTATCTGCTGATGTCCTTCTTGAAAGCCAAGTCCTTTGAGACTGTTGAGATCAGAGGGAATGGGTGCAGCTCAACAGACGGGCAGCGCGCGTGTCTTCTGTACCGCATCCCCACAAGGACACAGGCGAGCCCACACCCGCAGCCCCCAGGCATGGTCCACAGCCCTCTGCCTGTGCCCAAAGGCTGCCTAATGCCTTTTCCTGAATAAGCTGCCTCCTGCCTGGATGTTGTTTGTTGCATGCCTGCTGAGGATGAAGCTGGCTGGATACCCCTAAGCTGAGAGGAACAATGGCACCTAGCAGCCCACAGACAAATCCAGCTCTCTTAAGCCTTAACCCACTGAACGTCTTCTTCAGACCTTTTATTCCTGTTTAAAAACAAATGGAAGCCTGTTACCTGTCCTCACTTTCAGACGAGCTCTGGCTCCTTCTTTCCCACACACTTTGGCCACGATCTCCACCAGGTGCAAGACCCCAGGCTCCAGCCCCGACAGGGTCACACTCGTGTCCCAGGTCTCTAGGACCACCGTGGGGCTCCACGCAGAAGTCAGAGTGAGCTGGAAGGCAGAGCCCAGAGCGAGACGCGCCTCCCATGCCAGGTGGAAACCTGTGCTGGTCACATTGGAGACCACGATCCTCCCAATGGAGACGGGAACTGGGAAGTGCAGTGTAAACACCAAAGTTAAAATCAAGCCATTCCCAGGAGAGAGGAGACAAGAAGCCTCCCCTGATACCAAAAATCCAGTTCATCACCATGGGAACACGGGGGGTTTGCAGGTGATGACCACCAAGGCAAGTCTTGTGATGGGTGAGCAGGATCCTGCACAAGGCTCCAGAGCCTGGGCTTCCTTTCCCCTGTGCCCCTCCTCAGGACAATAGCAAATGCTTCTGATTTTGTTTTCCTTCAGCAGATGGTTCATATACATCCCTGAGGCCCCTGGATTTCCCCAAAATGAAGGCCTCTCGAGAAGGTTCTTGGTGGCTCCTCAGATGGACTGTCCACTCTTGACCCTTGGATGGATTTACCCAGGGTCCACCTAAGGGTCAGGATTGGTGACAATGCTGGCTAGAGAGCCATTCTTACAGGAAGACACCAGGTCCCTTGGTAATACTGACTTACATGGGCTTAAGAATTTAGTCTTGGAGCCTGTACTGCTTAGCAGAGGAAATGCACTGATGGAGAGCACTTTTAACAGTTTATTTGGGTAAAATCCAGAGGCAGGCCATCTCTGCAAGCTCACAGGACTGTCATGGCCGAGACCCAGTTCCTGCACTGATCTGCTGTGAATCTCCTGAGATGTCACCTGGGGCTTGGTGATGGCTAAATATTCTACAGGTAACATAAAACTGCTGGGGGTTACAGTGGGACAAGGGGTGCAAAACAGCTAAGGGGGTGCAGGAACCCTGGATATGTAGAGCAGAGGGGGTACAAAACACTTAGGGGGTAAACAAACAACTGGGTGTGCAGAAAAGCGGACAATGCAGAGCATCTGTGAGGGTGCAAAACATCTGGGGTGAAGAACAGCAAGGAAAGTGAAGAACAAACATGGGGGCAGAACAGCTGAGGGTGCGTGAGCAGCTGGGGAGGTGCAGAACACCTACGGAGGTGCAGAACAGCTGGGAAGGCGCAGAACGGCTGGGGAGTCACAGGGCAGCTGGGGAGATGCAGAGCAACTGGAAAGATGCAGAACAGCTGAGGGTGCGTGAAGCAGCTGGGGAGGTGCAGAACACCTACGGAGGTGCAGAACAGCTGGGAAGGCGTAGAACGGCTGGGGAGTCACAGCGCAGCTGGGGAGATGCAGAGCAACTGGGGGATACAGAACAACTGAGGAGATATAGAACAGCCCGGGAGATGCAGAAGAGCCGGGGAGATGCAGAACAGCTGGGGAGATGCAGAACAGCTGGGGAGACATAGAACAGCCAGGGAGATGCAGAAGAGCCGGGGAGGTATAGAACAGCTGGGGAGACATAGAACAGCTGGGGAGACATAGAACAGCTGGGGAGATGCAGAAAAGCTGGGGAGATATAGAACTGCTGGGGAGATATAGAACAGCTGGGGAGATGCAGAAGAGCCGGGAAGATGCAGAACAGCTGGGGAGATGCAGAACAGCTGGGGAGATGCAGAACAGCTGGGGAGACAGAACAGCCAGGGAGATGCAAAAGAGCCGGGGAGGTATAGAACAGCTGAGGAGACATAGAACAGCTGGGGAGATGCAGAACAGCTGGGGAGACATAGAACAGCCAGGGAGATGCAGAAGAGCCGGGGAGGTATAGAACAGCTGGGGAGACATAGAACAGCTGGGGAGATGCAGAAAAGCCGGGGAGATATAGAACTGCTGGGGAGATATAGAACAGCTGGGGAGACGCAGAAGAGCTGGGGAGATATAGAACAGCTGGGGAGATATAGAACAGCTGAGCAGACGCAGAACAGCTGGGGAGGTGCAAACAGCTGGGCAGACGCAGAACAGCTAGGGAGATATAGAACAGCTAGGGAGATATAGAACAGCTGGGCAGACGCAGAACAGCTGGGGAGGTGCAGAACAGCTGGGCAGACGCAGAACAGCTGGGGAGGTGCAGAACAGCTGGGCAGACGCAGAACAGCTGGGGAGGTGCAGAACAGCTGGGCAGACGCAGAACAGCTGGGGAGGTGCAGAACAGCTGGGCAGACGCAGAACAGCTGGGGAGGTGCAGAACAGCTGGGCAGAAGCAGAACAGCTGGGGAGGTGCAGAACAGCTGGGGAGACGTAGAACGGCTGGGGAGACGCAGAACAGCCGGGGAGACGCAGAACAGCCGGGGAGATATAGAACAGCTGGGCAGACGCAGAACGGCTGGGGAGGGGCAGAACGGTTGGGGAGACGTAGAACAGCTGGGGAGGTGCAGAATAGCTGGGCAGATACAGAACAGCTGGGGGGGGTCAGATCAGCTGGGAGTACAGAAAACCCAGGAGTGCAGAAAGGTTGGGGTGCAGCACACATTGGTGTGCAGAGCAGCTGCTGGGCCGCAGAACACTTAGGAGGGTGACAGAACAGCCGAGGGGTGTAGAACAGTGCAGATGCAGCACAGCTATGGGCATGCACCATTACTGGGGGGTCCAGAATTGTTGTGAGGTGACATCACGCTGATCAGGGCTGGGGAGGCTGGGGCACAGCCCTGCTAGGAGGCAGGACAACTGGGGTGGCCACCACCTCAGGGGATGGCTCCAGTACCTAATGTGACAAGTAAGCCCAAAGACTGCTCCTGAGGCAGACCTCTGCCCCAGCTGCTGCAAACAGGGAGCCCTGTGAGGTGGGAGGAGAGGGCTGGAACAGGTGAGAAGACCAAGCTGCCTTCCTAATTCGAACAGAAACCATCTGCTGGACACCCGTTTCCTCATGCACAAGATGAGGATGCCACCTGAGCCATGCTAGCAGCCTGCACCTCCACGGCTGCAGGGGCTTTGCCACCTGAGGCTCCCATAGGCTGCATGGCCCCTCTTGGTCCTAGGCCCCAGCATGCATCATTGGAGGAACTCACCACAGGCAGGGCTCTTCAGAGGTGTAAGGGTGGGGGTCGATGGCAGGTCTGCAGAGCCAGAGGGTCCACTGTTCTCATTTTGCAGCCACGTGGGATTCAGAAGTGTTTCCCAGGTGGGACGTGTGGCATGCCACATGACATGGCCAGTGGGGTCCTTGGTAGGGGAAGGCCAGGAGGAGTTTCCCAGTAACTGTTCAGGGAGGGCCAGTGGGCCATCTGTGGCCCCAGGAGGGAAGCTGTGGGTTGACCCAGGAGCCTTGGGGGAGGAGGTGGTGCCTATCACCCTGACAGTGTTCCTGTGGCCGGGGATCTCGTGGCTGGTGCTCCCCTGGCTGGTGCTCCCCTGGCTGGTGCTCCCCTGGCTGGAGTTCGCCTGGCTCCCTTGGTCCATCCCCAAACCTGGGGCAATGCTGGGCGCCTCCTGCTCCACACCTTTTCCTGTGTTGTTTCTGTCATACCCAACCACACTGCTGCCTCCTCTCCTGGGTGGGGGCCCTGGGGTCCAGGTCTGGCCTACTGCCGGGGTGCTCCGAAGGTGCCCAGGGCTGGGTGACAAGGTGAAGTTCTCTAAGCCGAGGGCTGTCATTCCCGTGCCAAGAGCTGGGACCGTGACCCCTGTTGCCGCAGACAGCCCACCGCCGGTGGGGCTCACCAGGTCACCTGCCAAGACACATCCAGTGTCAGATCCTGCTGGATCCCGCCCATGTCCCACAGGACAGCTCTGCATCCCACGTGGACCTGGGCAGGGAGGCAGGCGGGCTCAGCCAGCTTTCAGGAGTGTCTCACTGGCCGGTGTTTACAGGCTCCCTGGGGCTTCCTGAAGGCAAGTCACACATTTCCGCTGGATAAATGAGGAAACTGAAGCAGGGGGTGAGGGATCCACCTGGCAGGGGCTGCAAACCCTGACTTGAATGCAGGGCGTGGTTCTCACAAGCCTCAGATTAATCCATCAGGGCTTTGGGAAAAATGGGACAACTTCCCCCAGATTTGTGCTCAGTGTGGGGCTTGGTGCTGCCATCGGCTTGCAGGACATTAGGCAGGTAAGACACACAGGAGAGGTCAAGCGTGGGGTGTTCGGAAGCGGTCAGCACGCAGCGGCTAAGGAATATTCTCCCAGGGAACAGGCCTCAGCCGCTGACTTCCAGCTAGAAAGGCCTCGGGGGCTGCAAGCCGGCGTCTGGGTGCCTCTGCCACACCTGCGTGCAGGTGGACACTGCTAATCAGTCACCGCATTTTAGGTCTGCATGTGGCCTCCTCCTGCTGCTCAACTCAGCACCCCAGGTATCCCCAACCCACCCATCAGAACTGGCTCAGAAAAGACGTGGGGCTGATACAGCAGGTCTAGAGTTCAGGGGCCCCCCTCGTGACTTCTGTGGGCCCAGGGAACTTGGCCTTCATGGACCCCTGTGCCCCTCCACTTAAAAATCTATCAAAAACTACACTTTATAATGGCATTTGGATAGAGATGAGTGTCATCCAGGCTGGATTCATTGTTTTATGTATATTTGCTATCCTTCTATTAATTTCTCTTCTAGTTTTAAAAGAAATTGAAATGAAATATTTCTGTGAGTCCCTAACATTACCATAGGTCCTCAGCACTGCACCTGATGGAGAATTGGACCTTGCCTCACCCCCAGATCCCCACCCAGGGGCCTTCCCAGAGTTGGCAGTGTAGGGGAGAATACACACCCTCACAGACCCGGCCCGCGCGGGAGGGCATGGCGTCCCTGGCTGTTCGGCACTGGCAGGTGTAGGAGCCCTCCAGATTGATGCACCAGGCAGCCGGCGAGCAGTCGTGCTCCGTGCTGTCCACACACTCGTCCCAGTCTGCCGGGGGAGACACAAGACAAGACCCAGGAGCAAATGGTCAGAGTGGTCAGAAGACAGACCCGCGCTGGAAGGAGTCCTTCCTGGCCATCTTTGCGGTGAATGGCCGGAGCAGGGGCACTTTTGGGGCAGAGGCGGGGCATCCGTCCAACACCCTCGTGACAGCTTATGGCCTGCCTGTGCCTACCTTCACATCGGCTGGCTAATTTGGGGGCAAAGAAATGTTGCTTCCTTTGGGTGACACAGCACCCACAGGTGTGCATGTATCCCTCTCTTATTCTGTTTCCACACCCAAAAAGTTGAAATGCGTTCTCTTCTCTTCAATGTGCCCACATTATCCAATACTTAGTGTCTCAACCAAGAAACAGAAAAACGACTGAGCCGGGGAGGGGGTCCACCTGAGTCTCACATGAACTTGCCGCACCATTTTAGACCACCCAGGTGTCTCAACGGGTGTGCACTTCCTCCTGTGCCCCAAAGACATGGGAAGTCATGTCACTGGAGGGCCTGCCTGGGGAATGTCAGCGGGGACAAGGACAATGCAGTTCCCATGGGGGTGACTGAGCTGAGGTCAGCGGGGCGGGCCCTGCTAGATGGTGACAGTGCTTCTGTGAGTGCTTCTGCAAAGCTGCAGCTGGAGGTGCCCAGAGTGCCAGGAAGCTCCAGCTCAGTTGGAATTTAAGCCATGACGAGGGACCAGTTCAGTTGCGTGCAAAGAAAACCCTGCCGCTGAGTGCTCAGAGACTCGTCATGGTTTTTCCTGTTGTGCTGCTTTCTGTCTCCACAGAGGCAGCTTCTCTGGAGAACAACACAACAGCTGTGCCACCATGATGGCATGGCCTGGAGGCTGCCTTGCCATCAGAACGCTGCTGGTGCCCGCCCACACCTCTTCCTGGGGTGCTACTCAACGTCCAGCCTACAGGTACCTCTCCAGGGGTGATCCGGGTTGGGGCTGGAGCGTAGGCTGGCCGGGCTGCAGTCCATGGAGGACAGCAGAGGCACCAGGCAAGACGCTGGCTCAAACCACCAAGCACCTGGTGTCTATTTTGGTGCGTGGTGATTCACCTAGCCTTCACTCCCCCGTCCCCCCAGACAGCTCCCAAGCAAGCTCAGAAGAAGCGCTGGCAGCTGTGTTTAGTCCTGCATTAAGCCTTGAGGCTTGCCAGCCCTGCAGTTCATAGGAAGAGGCAGGTGTGGGAGCAGAAGAGCTGCCAGTGAGCCTCTGCACCCTCGAGGGCTGGCCAGACGTGGGTCCAGAGGGGGCGGGAGCCCAGGGAAGGATGCTGCATGCTCCTCCCACTGGCCCTTCAGCTGGGACAAGGGCTGAGCCCTCTCCTGGAGGGGTGGGGACAGCTGCTCCAGAGGCTCCTAGCCCAGGTGCCCCTCCTGAGCTGGCCCCACCCAGAACAACAAGCTGGAGAGGGTCTGGGAGCAGGTACAGACCCCGGACCCCCTGGGCCACCCTGTCCCAGCAAGGCGTAGGCTCCTCAGTATGACCATGAGCTGTCCTTCAGGGCCCAGGGTGTTCTCTGGAAGTGATGCCCCTCAGACTCTCCTGGGGCCATGTGTCAGATTCACACTGGGAGAAAGAGAGCACAGAGCACCTGGGCCTAATGCCACCGCGAATGGATGCTGGACAAACCACAGTGCCCGTGAGCCTAAGGAAAGGAAGCAGCCTGCAGTAGGTGAGCCTGGCCAGCAGGTGAGGGGGACGGCAACAGCCCCAGGCCAGGACCCTTGCTCACGGCCCTTCTCCCAGTCTGCAGAGGGGCTGGAAGGGCCTGGCACAGTGGCGAGGCCGGTGGGAGCAGGCAGCTGACGGGAATCTTTGAGGAGCTCAGCTCAGTCTGCTCTGACTGGCCCCAGGAGAAGCAGCATGATTCCGGGGCCCCAGAAGACCCAAATGGCCTCTCACATAGAAGGATGCCAGCGGGGGTCCCGCTCCTCTGGCCGAGGTTGGTGCAGAGGGTTCACAGCAGTGCCTCATAGAAGCCCATTGATGGCCCTCACTCTAGGACAAACAGGCACGGTATGAGAATCTCTCCTGAGAATGGGGGAGAGGAGGAGCAGGGGCGGTGCTGTTAGGAGCAAGAGATTGAATGGGAGTGATGTGAGGGGCAGAGAGAGGAGCCCAGAGATGAGGAAGGGCCAGTGGGAACCCAAGGGTCACTAGGCGACCTTCCTAGGTGAGCTCTCAGCCAAGATATGAAAGTGAATCCTGGAGTTAACCCTGAACAGTGGAGGAACATCGGAAATGCCCGTCGCCATGCGCAGGCGCTGGACCAAACCCACGCAGGCATTGTCCCTTGATTTACCCCACCGCCATAGGAGGGGGCATGTTGCTGTAATCTTCTCGTTTCACAGAGGAGCATCCTGAGGCCCAGAAAGAGGAAGTCATCTGTGCAGTGTCACATAGTGAGTGAGTGTCAGAGCTGGGATTCCAACCGGTTCCGCCGCCTCCCATGAGGCAGTGAGCAGGAGGCATGGCTGCACTGTGAGGGTGCAGCTCATAGGCACAGGGGGCGGCTCGGCCTCCAGGCCTCCCAGCACGGGCCGTACCTTCCTGGGGAAAGACTGGACACATGGCCACCGGCACAGTTCACCACGACTGGCTCAGGAAACCCCAGGCCCCAGGATGGATGGCCTAACGGTAAAGATAAGGTCATGACAGCCTGACCCCTGCACGGGCTGTGGCCCTTGTCACCCACGGGCAGTGCGCGCTCCTGAACGACTCAGGGAAGCTCCAGTTGTGCCAACGACAGTGTTTCCATGTGGGCCACAGCGCAAATGCCTTTTCTTCTTCCAAGGAGCTCTTTTTGTGTTTTGGTTTCTTGGTTTTTTTTTTTGCAGTGGTATCAAATGTCTTCTGCAGGTCCTCGCCGTGAAGGTGGGGCTCTCAGGGAGGGGTGGGAGTCCCCATGGAAGCTGGGCTCAGGCCTCACACTGCCTCCCCAGGTAGGGGCAGTGCCCACGGTTGCTCCCCTAGCCGTGGAGTCTGAAGACACCAGTGGTAACAGAGCCAAAAGATAGCAGAGGCAGGGCTATCTCCCCAGCCACGCACAGACCAAGGCGTGACCATTGCTGGCCACACAGCCAACCCCCCAGCTCAGGGACTGGCCCGCAGCAGCACCTCAGCTCCGAAAGGTGTAGGAAGCAGCCCAGAGCCTGCGGTGACCCCGCCGGGCAAGAGCCTGCCCAAGGAGCTTAACACCTTCTGCGGGGACACTGGAACTGCGTGGGGAATGGGTGGTGGGAATACTTAAGACAGAGCATCCAGTCCGCAGGATGCAAGACATGAGCCTCCTGTGGCTGTCATCACGAACACCACCAGCTGGGGGGCCTGAAATGACACAGATGATATATTCCCACCATTCCAGAAGCCGGAAGTCCAAACTCAAGGTGTCGGCCGGGCTGCCCTCCCTCTGGGCTCCAGCAAAGGAGCTTTCCCATGCCTCTTCCAGGGTCTTATCTCGTGGCTCCACGAGTTCCTTGGCTTGCGACCGTGTCACTCCAATCTTGGCCTCTGTGTCTGTGTCTCCTCTTCTTGTCTCATATAAAGACACTTGTCATTGGACTTCAGGCCCACCCCAAATCCAACGGCAGGAGGGCCTCATCTTGACATCCTCACCTTAATCATATCTGCAAAGACCCTTATTCCAAATAAGGTCACATTCTGAAATTCCAGGTGAACATATCTTTTTGGAGGGGCCACCACTCAACCCATGACATCCCTGCTGTCCAAGTTCTCATTTGGCAGGGTTCCAGCATCTCCTGAGCCCTGGTCCCAGAGGACAGGAGGAGGGAGGCAGGGAGGTGTGGAGGATGGGCTTGGCTGCATCCATCTGAAGGCTGAATCCCCCAGAAGGTTGGATCATGAAGTCACATACTGAGCACCCTGCTGGGGCATACACTGTGGACCCCACCCACAGGCCCTACCCTGCAGCCCAGCTAGGTGGCATCTCACCAGGTACAAGGGACATTGCAGTATCCCCATCCTTAGGGGATGCCAAGTGAACAGACTGACCCCCAGGCTGAGGTTTCCAGGCATGACTTTGAAGCACAGATGCCCCCTAACGCCCCCCCCAGTTCTTCCCAGCACCTCCTGGTGGGGGAAGGTTGGGACTGCAAGCCAGCACGTGGCTGAGCTCCAAGACCCAGCACCCCAGGAGATGCCCACTCCACAGATTGAGCCCAAAACTGGAGCTTGTGGATCTAGAGACTGCATATGGCCTCACTGTGAGGAGAGAGCTTTGTGCCTGCTGTGGGATGGCAAAAACCTGGTCTCTGTCTCTCTCTTTAACTCTCTGCCTTTTCAGCTGTCCTCTGTCCATGACCTCCTGCTTTAAGGCAACACCAAGTAAAATGAAACAACACACAAGGTAATGAAATAGACCCACAGAGGCTGGGCACAGTGGCTCACACCTGTAATCCCAGAACTTCGGGAGGCTAAGGTGGGTGGATCATCCGAGCTGGCCAACATGGTGAGACCATCCTGGCCAACATGGTGAAACCACGTCTCTACTAAAAATACAAAATTAGCCAGGCGTGGTGGTGGGCACCTGTAATTCCAGCTACTCGGGAGGCTGAGGCAGGAGAATCACTTGAACCCAGGAGGTGGAGGTTGCAGTGAGCTGAGATCATGCCACTGCATTCCAGCCTGGGTAACAAGAGCAAGACCCTGTCTCAAAAAAAAGAAAGAAAAAAAAATAGACCCACAGGTGGGCAATTGCACAGCTGCCCAGAAGTGCTAGGGGGACCTGACCACAGACACAGTGAACTCCTGTCCCCTTCCGCAGAGGGGACCCTCCAGCCCCGTTTCATTCAGTGTCCTGTGCTGACTGGTGAGACGCAGGTGGGCTGGTTGTTCAGGGCTACTGCCCCGGCCCCTGGTTCCGGTGGAGGAAGCTAGAATAAGGATTTACATTTCTTTACCCTTTGAAATAATGGAAAGACTGACTCAAATAAAATCACCAAGAGGGCTTCTGAGCTGGAGGGCAGCAGGCAGCAGAGCGGATGGCCGGACTGTACCTTGCACGAGTGTCCCCTGCTGGTCAATCTGGAACACTGTGCTTGCCAGCAGGGACTGGAGCATTGGGGCCAGCGTGGAGACACCCACAGGAACCCTGGGGTCCTGCACGGTAAGCCTGAGCCTCACGGCCACGCTTCCCGCCTGGAGAGACACGATGTGCATCCTCAGTTTCCCACTTTGGTACAAGTCAGACACCACCGGCGGGAAGGAGCTCTCGACCTAGCCAAGAAGAGGCAACAGCTATTCAGACAGGGCAGACACCCATGCACGCCTTCACCACCATTAAGCAGGGTTCCAGGCATGACCGATGGATGGCACATGGACCTCTCTGTCTCCTCTACAATCAATAGGAGGCACCCAGCAACCAGCTTCTCAGAGCAAGCAGAGAGCCTCCTGTTCACAGCACCTGAGCTGAGCTTTCCCTGGGACGGCCGGGCCTCACCTGGTGTGTGCTGGAGACTCACAGTGACCACTACAATCAAGCTCCCAGTTGTGGAGCATCAGATGAACAATCCCCTCTTGAGTGTCCTGAAAACTGGTACGAAGGTCACATGTGTGAGTGTCCAAGAAAGACTACTGGACTGATTGATAGATGGATTGATGGATGGACTGATGGATGGACTAATGGATGGATTGATGATGGATGGATTGATAGATGGACTGATAGATGGATTGATAGATGGAGAGGCCTCACCAAGGAACAATGCCTACGGCCATTTGCAGCTGTCCCCTCACTTACTAGGCTGTATCCTGCAGGAGACACACACATAGAGCCAGGTGCTCAGGACTGCCCATGCCCAAGCAAGGGAGATACCAGCCTGGTTCCCTGCCTTTCCACCACCCCACACTTGCACACACGATGAGTTAACATTAAAAAAGAGGGAATTATCTGAAAACATTCAAAACCGGATTCCCCTGCAGGTGAATGTTGGGAAGCATCCTCTGTGGCTCTCCGGCATTTCTACACATCTTGCAAGTAGAAGCCCTTTGTTTTAGAATCTCTTTCCAAGGATATTTGCATAGTGAACAGCCTTGGGAGGGAGAGATAGTGGCCCCCTCCAGAGCAAAGGGCAGGCTTGTTACTGTCCAATGTAACAGATAATTTCTACTTCTGGAGCAAGTGCCTGCACCCATTATAAAAGATTCAGGTTCCCTAGGATCAGGGATCCTCAGCTCAGGTGCAGACGCACTTTGCGTGCTTCGTTCCCTGGGCCCCGTGCATCACCTCTGTGGGACTCGGTGCAGGAAATGGCACAAAAGCACATGCATGCTGCCTGCTGTGCTGTGAGTAATACAGTCTTTTGTCTCTGGCCCAGGAGTCTCATGTCTTCTGCCAGCATCCATGAAACTGTGGCAGACTCACTTGTGAGTTTGCAGGGAGGGTAAAACCTCAGACCTTATGTGATTCTTGGCAGCTTAGGAAGTCACTCTTCTCTCCAGTGCCGCATCTGTGCATAGACAGTGCTGCACACTGGCTCGATTCTCCCTGGCTGGTCTGCTGATGTCTCCCTTTAGCCACGAGGGAGGAATGGATGCCATGATTGTAGATAAATGCTTCGCTAATGAAGCTACCCCAGACTGGAGGACAGAGCCCTCAGACAGAAGATTCCGCAGAAAACCCAGCAGTAGGATTAAGTGGTGTAGACCATTTGAATAAAGGCACATATTTTAAAGAGGGATGGCCCCAGTATCTGGATTAAGTACCGAATGAAAGCAGGGGGAAACTTGAGAAATTACTGTGCGATTTGCCTTTGGCTTCCCCTGAAGCTGAAATAACATGTATTTTTGCCACAATCCCAGAGGAAGAGCTGGGCAGGAATTCACGGCTTCTGTTTGATGGCCTCGCTCAAAACACCCAAGAAAAGGTTTGTGTGTCTGCATTGCGGCTTTACCTCGTGAAGCAGCTCTCTGGAAAAGGCCTGGTACTCCACGCTGCTGCGGTCACGTAACTGCTCCGTCAGGTTTCGGTTTACGATCTTTATTGTGACTTCAAACACCTGGGCTTCTAAGACAGACAGTGAAACAGATCAGCCCGTGGTCAAAAGTCGCACACTTTTCTGTTAATGTTTGCTGTGAAGCCTATTCTTTGGTGGGGAATTTTTTTTAATAGAGTGAGGCATGAATCTTCGATTGAGGTATCCTAATTGGGGGGAATAAATGTAAGAAATGAAAGAATAAACACACACTTTTATGTCCAGGGCAGAGGCATCCCAGGAAGGAGGTACAAACGTCACACACAAGCCATACCCACAGGAACTGGGATTCAACCAGTGCACAAAGGGTCCTTTCCCGTGGGGTGGCTGCAGCTTTCCTCTGCCCTGTTCACAATCACAGGGCCCAGCGGGTACTCACATGGGGCCCTTACTCAGGCCTCCAACATCAGGGTGACCAACAGATTCCAACCTGCCTGGGGACGTCCCAGCATTGAGCTCTGAAAGTCCCGCCTCTCAAGAACGTGCTCTGTGACAGTCAAACTGGTAGGGTTGCTCACTTACAAGGGAGGTTGCCTTATTTTTGGACATAAACGAAGATGGAAAAAAGGTTCAAGATGGGACATGGAATATTCGTCTCTCATTACTAAGAGGAAACCCAGCATGCACAACCCAAGAGCCGGCGGGCCCGGGAGCAGACTGGCCACAATTCTGCACATGTCTCCAGTTATGTAACAGCCACCCACAGCTGTGCCCCACCCTGGCACTCAGCCAGCTGGCAAGGTATGGGCCATCAGAGAGTGTGTCACCTGTGCACGCCACACTTAAGGCAGCAGAAATGCCATCGATGTTGTATGTTGTATATTTCCCAGTTAGGGCCCCTGTGGATCTCCTGTCTTAGCAGGAGGGAGGAGCACCCCTTGTGTCTGATTCTCAGGCCCCAACAAATCGCAGAGCACTGTGCACAGGCGGCCTCCTCCAGGGCCCTGGGAATTGGACTCCCCAGAGGCTCTGAGCATCAGCTGCCACCATAACACCTGCTGCCTCCCGGCATCACAGGCTCATGACAAGGAGAAATTAGACAAGATGGAATTAGACAAGGCCTTTAAAGCAAACTGAGCTGCTTAAAAACGGCTCTACAAAAAAAAAAAAAAAAAAAAGGCATTTGTATCATATGGAAAAGGAAAGAAAAGGCTGGGATGTGGAGCAGGTCGGTAATCCAAGAGTCTTCCAAATTATTTGTGCCTGATGTTGGCATGTAAGTTTTTTCCGGAGGGCACGGGGTTGGTGGGGTGGGCGCTGCTCAAGTCATTCCTGGGTTTCCTCCTGGGGTCACTTGAGCCCAGGAGTTTGAGACCAGCCTGAGCAACCTGGCAAGACTCCATGTTTATGAAAAATTAAATAATTAGCCAGGCATGGTGGTGTGTGCCTGTGGTCCCACCTACAAGGGAGGCTGAGGTGGGAGGATCACAGGGTCACTTGAGGGGAAGGGGTTGAGGCTGCAGTGAGCTGTGATCGCACCACTGCACTCCAGCCTGGGTGACAGAGCAAGATCCTGTCTCAAAAAGAAAAAAGTTTCCTCCCGGCACAAATATGGTGGGCACTGCATTCGCTCTGCACGCATCACGCGGAAGCGAGGCACGAAAACAACAGCAATGCTCCTCTCTCAGGAACTCAGACGGCCTCGGCGCCTCAGGGTAAGCATGACAGGGTAGGTCCTGATCTGCCTGCCAGGAGCTGCCACCTTCTGCTTCATTATCACAATTTTATATTTCTTTGCTTCCCTCTAGCTGATGCCTTGTCGATGCTTCTGAGTCCACATGTCGTCCCCTCTCACGGCAGAGTGAACCCTGAACAGGACGAGATGTAGGGAAGCGAGGGAGCCCGGGAAGGTACCAGCAGGCGAGTGCAATGTGGGGCAGGCTGTGGGACAGCTTGGAGGGAACGGAGGAAGTGCGGGGAGATCCGTGACTACTGGTGCCCACAAAGCGCCGGAGCCACAGGACTGGGACCGAGGACGGCAAGCTTGCGAGCTAACGGGGGTCTCTGGCTGGTGGCCTTCTTACCGGTCTTGACGGTCAGCATGGTGGAGACATCTGCCCCGCACCCCTGGTAGCTGGTCTTCACCCTGTAGAGCACTCCAGCCTCCAGCCCAGATACTGCCAGTGCCAGGCCCCGTGTCCTGGCGCTCCTGAGCAACTCCTCACCCCGGTAAACCCGGACATAGAAAGTGCGGTTCTGCGTAGAATTCAAACGCCAGGATACTTGAAAACCGCCACCGGTGACATTGAGGATCCTGTAGTCACTGAGTGTAGGGCAATCTGTGAAATCACAGAAAGAGAAGACCAGCATAGGGTCAGCGAGGGCGGTTTTATCTTCTGAAGCAAGTGACGCGGCCTCGTCTCAGCTCGGTTCCCACCGATCTATTGATCAAGTTGAGTCATGCAGGACAGGACTTGCTTTCTTTTTTAACCAATTATAAATGAAACCCATTCATTCAAAACAGAGGCATCGATATTCTCTCTCCCCAGGCTTCTGAGTAATTTTGGAAGGTAGTTCAGGATTGCACCGGGTGACGGGGATATCTGAGATGAAACAGAGAGGCGAGAGGTCTGAAGCTGAAAGCGCAGCCCCTCTATCACTGAGCCACGTCAGAGGGTGGGGGTCATCCAAGTGGGCCTCGGTCCACACCGGGAATAGCATTGAGTCGTGGCGCTCTTGAGGTCCAGAATCTGTGATTTCTGCAAAGTCAGAACGCTATCTCTCTCGGGACCCGCCAGCAGCCATTGTATGGAAAACATCTGCAGCAATGGCCCTGACAGTGTCAGGTTTCAGTGCCTCGTCTGCAAATACCCACTTGGCAGCCTGTCCCAGGGCCCCGGGCCACTCTGATTCACGACAAGCAAGCACTTGATCATTTGCACAAGAACTTCTGCACTGGGATGACTCTGGGATCACGCAGTAAACAGTGGCCCCGTCAGGAAGCAGGACTCCGAAATCAGGCCGTTTCCTTTACCGTCCTTTTCATGCTTTCCTATTGAAATCCGTGCCTTAGGGAGCAACGCTCTGATGGACCAACCTATATATATTCTAGTGCTCAAACAGCACTGAAGCTCTTTTTTGGTTGAAAAAATTCTGGCTGTACAGCAAGTATCTGGGCAGTAAGGATTATATAAAAACTCGATGGCCCCCAGGCTAGCCACCAATATTTTCACATCGGAAGGTAAGTTCTATAAAAACAAGCGGCCGGGACCATCCTGGTCAACAAGGTGAAACCCCGTCTCTACTAAAAATACAAAAAATTAGCTGGGCATGGTGGTGCGCGCCTGTAATCCCAGCTACTTGGGAGGCTGAGGCAGGAGAATTGCCTGAACCCAGGAGGCGGAGGTTGTGGTGAGCCAAGATCGCGCCATTGCACTCCAGCCTGGGTAACAAGAGCGAAACTCCGTCTCAAAAAAAAAAAAGGAAAAGAAAAAAATACGAGCAACGAGGAACTTTTAAAAATGTAGTTTGCAAAAGCATGGTAAAGAAAGTCATTTTATAATGTGTGGCTTCCCAAAGCCTCTTATGTAAGGATTGGTAGGATATATGCTTTCCATTATCGTGAAAAAATTCTGTTTTTAGACACAGGTATCTGCTTTCTCTCAATCACAAATTAAAAAAAGAGAAAACCAACACAATCCAACTCATTTCCCTTTTTGCCTTGGCTGTCAAGAGGCTCAGAATCCAAAGTAATGCCCAGTCACCACCAGGCGAGATAGCCCTGCTGTCTCCTCCTTCCAACCCGAGACTAAGCTGCCTCTTTTGAATCTTGGTCCCTGTGAAGGTGAGCTTTTCCAATGAAAACCCTGCCACTCCACCTCCCAGTAGATGGGCATCTATTACTGGAATCTGGACAGGCTCACTCGGACAGGGTTAGTGACAGCCATCCAAATTCTGATGCTGCCAATAACACTGTTAGGCTGTGGGGTAGAACACCGTTCTTAAAAGACACGTCTATACTTTTTACAGGATTGTCCAGTGACTTTCTGCACACTGAGCAGGGAAACAGACACGGATGCTGGTTCATACTTTACGGTATTTTCTTTTGCGGCAAGAAAAGCAGAAATGCTTCAACTGAGGGTGGCCCAAACCTTGGGACCTGAGAGTGTGGGTGGCACCCCTGTCTCCAGGGTCACCAGAACCCTGGAATCAAAAAAGACCCCCCACTGCCTGGCCTTCTAACAACCACTCAGCTTTTTAAAGTCTGTTTCTTGGGAACATATGTCTCACTGAGAAAGGAAGGAAGGGCTACCATTGCTTTTCCGAAAAGTCTGCTAAAAGCACTGTCGGTTCTATTTTTGTACAGGCAGGACACAGCCCGAAGCATTTTGTATCCACTTCGGTGGAGGATGGGGTGACAGCGAAACGCCCTGCAGATAGGAAAGTGGGTCAACGCGAGCGGGCCCAGCAGCTTGAACAGCAGCCCCCAGCCCACACCCAGGGCTCCAGCCCTGCCTCCTCGCTGCCGTCATCTCAAACTTGACATGGAACGAGAGAGCACATGGCTGGGACAACAGATGGCCCACCCAGATTACCGGCCACTTAAAAGCACATTCTATGAGGAGTGCTTCCAAGCAGAGTGCAGTTAAAATTGAAATGGTGTCTGTATGAATTTGAAAAGAACACAGCGGAATGGTGTTTAGAAAGAAGGCTCGGAGCGCGCGCGGCTGGCAAGGCATACTTTACCTCTTTTAATAAACATATTCACTCTTTCAGTTAAGATGCCAGTGGCTTTTTGGATCACTGGATGGGGGACTTGCCAACCTGGTGTTTCAAGCGCTGTGAAACCCTCCGAGGCATCTGTGGAAGCTGCCATCAGTGACTTCTGCAGCTAGGAGAGATTGTGAGCATTTGGAGAAAGAGTCTTATCTAATCCAAAGGAATGCATTCTCCCCGAGGACGACGTTCCCATCCAGTGTCTGTGTGGCGCTTTCTCCTGTCTGTTACTTTGAAGCATTTGGCATTGTCCATATCTGACCATGTTTGACCAATGAGGGCACCAATTTCTTATGGCTCATTTTTTTTTTTTGAGCATCTGCTATGCACCCAGCATTGCCATAAGACCGGGAAAACAATGAAGAGTCAATGTCCAGAGCGTCCAAGCCAGCACAGCCACGGTAGGAACTTGCAGGGAGCTAGGAATTAACTCCCGGCATGAGCCCCCTGCAGCTCTCCCTCCCATGACATCCATGTCACAAACCAGCCAAGCTATTGGCGACATGGTTATAGATGAAGTTTCCTGGGTGCTGTGTACACAAGACATGGTATCCTCTGCAGTCCTTACAGCAATCCCAGGTAATAGGATCTAGGATCCCCATTTCACAGAGGACAAAACTGAGGCCTAGAAAGGTCAAGTAGGTGGTAAATGGCAAAGCTGAACAATAGCAAATGGCAGAGTGCACTTGCTCCGCTACTAAGCTGTCCTAGCACAGTACGAGGCTGAATCATGACCTTCAGAGATACCAGGTCCTAATCCCTGCGACCTAAGAATATGACCTTATTTGGAAAAGGAATCTTTGCAGATGTGATTCAGTGAAGCATCTTCAGATGGAAAGATTATCCTGGATTTCCTAGTTCCATCCTAAATGCAATCACAAGTGTCTTTGTAAGAGAGAATCAGGGAGATTAGCACAAACACACACACACACACACACACACACACGCAGGCGATATGAAGCTGGAGTGGAGAGGTGGAGAGAGAACAAAGATGTTCACTTAGAAGATGGAGTGGGGCTAGGCATGGTGGCTCACGACTAATCCTAGCTCTTTGGGAGGCCAATGTGGGCGGATGGCTTGAGCCCTGGAGTTCGAAACCAGCCTGGGCAATATAGTGAGACCCCATCTTTACAAAAAATGCAAAAATTAGCCGGACGTGGTGATGTGTGTCTGTAGTCCCAGCTACGTGGGGGGCTGAGGTAGGAGGATCAATTGACCTGGGAGATGGAGGCTGCAGTAGGCCAAAATTGTGCCACTGCACTTCAGCCTGAGTGACAGAGCAAGACCCTTTCAACAACAACAAAAATCTAACAAGAAGAAGGCGTGATGCAGCCACAAGCCAAGGAATGCTGGCCACCACCAGAGGGCAGAGGGCAAGGAATGAGTTCTCCTAGAGCCTCCGGGTGCACAGCCCTGCTGGCATCCTGATTTGGGCCCAGTGTAACTATCTCAACTTTGTGGTGTTCAGAACTGTGAAAGGATACATTTCTCTTGTTTGAAGCCACCTAGTTCAGGGGTCTCTGTTAGGAAATCCCAGGAAATTTATGTATCTCCCAACCCTTCTTCTTTAATTCACTTTCAAGGCAGCCGTTCCTGTGGCTGGACAGCACAGCTTGGAGAGTTTTCTTTTCTTCTTCTTTTTTGAGACAAAGTCTTGTTCTGTCGCCAGGCTGGAATGCAATGGCGCGATCTCAGCTCACTGCAACCTCTGCCTCCTGGGTTCAAGTGATTCTCCTGCCTCAGCCTCCTGAGTAGCTGGGATTACAGGTACCTGCCACCACACCAGGCTAATTTTTATATGTTTAGGAGAGATGGGGTTTCACCATCTTGGCCAGGCTGGTCTTGAACTCCTGACCTCGTGATCCATCCGCCTCAGCCTCCCAAAGTGCTGGGATTACAGATGTGAGCCCCTGTGACTAGCCAGAGAGTTTTCCTTGTATTGCAAAACCAACCAACTTCTAACATGCTAAGGTCAATGTCTCTTGTTGGACAGACCTTGGGGTGTTTTAAAACTAGAAATCTTCCTCCCACCCCTGACTCCTCCCTTCCAGGGTAGGCCCCTATAACTTGGTTGTTGTTGTTTTATTAGCCAGGACACCTTCCTTTGGTTACCCTTAAATGAGGACCCTTTTCAGTGTCCCCCTTAAAATGTGGCCCTAGAAAGTGCTGCTCTTGACTGTGTTTGTGTGACCCAAGGGCACGGCAATGTGGATAATCCAAACTCCAGGCTCCAGAGCCCTTGCTCCACAGCCCTCCCCTCCACAGGTAGAAACACAAGTCCAGCACTTTGCCTCTTTCTGGGTGAAACACCCTGAATTCTCCACGTCTGACAGTCTGGGCCCTTGTTTCTTCCAGGCAGCTGTGACTCATCTCTGGTTCAGCAGGGAAGGTGCTGGGGACGCTGCTTCCCTTAGCAATACACAATTGGAATCACTCTAGATTTCGGGTCTGGAAACACTGGACGAGTGTGTCCTGCCCTATCAGAAGTGAGGCCAGGACCGCACAGCCTCCCATTTGTGTGTGGCGGTTGCTCAAGTGGCCCTGTGTCCTGACGCAATCTGGCAGCTCACCGCGCCGAGCAACACAGCAGAGCGTGACTGCCAACCATGAATAGAATCTAATATTTTTCCAGATGACTGACCAGGGTAAAAATAACTATTTGGAAACTACCTGTTTTCCAATCTTCTGTGCTCACAAAAGGGACGGGACTCTCACCCTGGAAGCCACAGAGTAGAAATCTACAGACGGTTGTTTGCAGAGCTCAGTGGGTGTCGTGGGGTGCGGAGGGCACGCAGGTCAAGGCCACGTCCTGCGGGTAGTGGAGTGTTCGAGTGTTTTGCTGCCAGATCTGGGCTGGAACTTGCCTTTTCTTTCTTTCTTTCTTTTTTTTTTTTTTTTTTTGTAACACCTGGAGACTCTGGGGATGGCCACAGTGATCCAGGAAACCTTTGCGGAGTGCCTGCTCTTTTCAGGGAACCAGGGATTCATCTGCCGGCGGGCAGAAGGCGAGGCGGCTCTCCCCACAGCCTCATTCTGATAGGAGGGGAACATTCCTCGTTGGGGGGAGGCAGGAAGATCTGACCCTGGAGCCCTCCACATCCACAGCTGGCTCTGGGAACTGGTCTACTCCCTCCACCTCTTGCCTGCAGATCCCTGAGAAGAGCCAGCCAATCAGAACCTTAGGCTGGGCACAAGGGCTCCTGCCTGCAGTCCCAGGGCTTTCGGAAGCCGAGGAGGGAGGATCTCTTGAGGCCTGGAGCTTGAGACCAGCCTGGGCTACACAGTGGGACCTCGTCTCTACAAAAAAATTTAAAAAGAGCCGTCTGTGGTGGTGCATGCCTGTGGTCCCAGCTGCTCCAGAGGCTGACGTGGGGGCCTGGGAGCTGAAGGCTGTAGTGACTGGTGATCACGCCACTGCCCTCCATCCAGCCTGAGTTAGACCCTGTCTCTACTAAAAACTAACGAAATAAATAAATAAAAATCAGAACCTTATGTTCCTTTGTTAAGTAAGGTCCTGGAATGCCAAAGAACATAATTTAATTTTTCTAGAACTGTTCCCAACTCTTGGTCCTAAGCACTCCTGAAGGTAGGAAAGGGCATGGCGATTTCCCTGGGTGCACCGGGACAAGGGCAGCCCCGGAAGATGGGGGAGAGGCCATCACACTCTCAGGCAGGCTCCTGCCAGAGGGCTCCTACGGAAGACAGTCTCGGGACAGGGGTGGCCGGAGTCGTGAACAGCCTGGCTCATGCGTATCTGCAGAGAACCAGCTTGGGGATCTCATGCAAGAAAAGGATCTTCCTCTGCCTCAATTTCCTCTTCTGAAACATGAGCTTAAGAAGAGTAGTTGCCCCTTGGGGTTACTGTAAGAATTTAAACAAGGCAATAGCCACGGAGTGCTGAGAGCAGAGCCCAGTACGGGTGAAGTCCCTGGCAGCTGCCAACTCTGCTGTTATTGTCAACAAAGGGACTGTCCTCACTGCTGAGTCCCTTTTAAAAAAAAAGAACCTGCAGATTAAACGAGTAATGAATACAAATTGGGTGTAAGGAGATTCTCCATAACTCCTATCACGATATTACAGTTCCAGAGCCTTGGAAGCAGCAGAAGAGCTCCCGTGGTGGACTGGACTCGGAGCAGTATTAGAGGATTGCCTTAGAAGACCAATAATTATCCTGGTGAAGACCAGGCTTCTTCTCGGAAACTTAGTATACACTGTAGGAAGTGAAGAAAGCATGTAGCAAGATTTAAATAAGGTTAAAAATAGAAACCTGCCTTCAGTAAGGTCAAAACCTGGAAAAGAACAGGGACTAGAAAGAGCCCGGGCTCTGGGAGGTGTGGAATCAGCATCGCCTGTCTTTTGAGAGACCCCCGGGAGTCCACAGCCTCCTCCACATCAGGCCTTCCTTCCCTCAGCCTCTCCACAGTCAGGCTTCTCTGTAGGGTCCGGTGGTCGCCTTTCCCTCCTCCAGCTGTCTTCCTAACCAGGGCCGGCTGCTGGCTTCTTCCCGCCTGCTCTCCTTAAGTGAGTTCCCGTGGGCGCTTTCCTGCCCACCGGCTGCCCGTGCACATACCCTCCCGGCTTGCCTCCAGTTCACCGCTTGCCCTTGCTCTCTTGGGGCTTGCTGAGCCTTCCCAGATGCTTCGCACGCCCTTCCTGCTGTTTTCCCACCTTGCCCACATCCTCTGCAGCCTCTTTTCCTGCACTGACCTGGCACGGATGGGGTTCTCTGGCCACAGGCCCCGGGCCTTTTCCCTTGTCTCAGCCATACCATGGTTTAAGTGTCACCTGGAGGCAGGTGACCCTGGACTCAGGAATGCAGCCGCCCGCCTCTGAACTCCAGCACCACACGTCCAACTCAGTCAGCACCCTGGCACCCCCACTCACTCCGTCTCAGCTGTAACTACTGCAGACAATAACAACAGCTGGCGTCTTCCCCGTCCCTCCCAATGGAAACGCCCTCTGCTCCCTTGTTCAGTCAAGACACCTGGACTCCGCATCTTTCCTGTTTCCTCCTGTTCACTGAATTCATCAGGAAGTTCCAGGGGTTCTAGCTCTAAAATGTTACCTGAATCCTCTTCTCCACCACCTTCTGCACCCTGGACTCCTGCACTCAGTGTATCGTCTTTACACACCTTCCCATGTTACAGACCACACCGTTACTTCTTATTCCAAGCCGCCTGATGGCAGAGCCAATCCTGCCTGCAGGTCCCGGTTGGTACACCCCTCCCCACTCCAGCAGGGACAGAGCCCGGCACGTTCTTGTACGTGCTTCCCCCTCACCTAGCAGGCTCTTCTGCTCTCCAGGCTGACCCTGCGAGGCTAGGGATGGTCCCAGCTTATCCCCGTGGTTCCAGTGCAGACATTGGTCATGCCCTTTCATGTGCCAAAATGTCTCCATTTCCTCAGTCCGCTAGACAGGCGGAGATCAGGACCTGCTGGGGCATGCGTCCATTACCAGCACTTAGCACAGCGAATTGCACCTAAATAAACATGCCCTAAGCTAAAGAATGAATGCAGGAGTGGCCTACTAGGACATCAGTAACGGTTGAAAGAACTAAGCATATTCTGTGCCCCTGAGCCAGCCGTTCCCTCCGGCAAGAAGAGTCTCTGTGGTTGAAAGTCCAGCTAGCCTTTAAAAAATGCCTTCGCCCTTTTCCCGTTAAAAAAAACAGTGCAGCTCACTGCCAGCACTCATTTAATTTTCTGTTAACATGAGCTTTGAGGTTGGAAATCTGATTTTCAATATGAAAATGAAATGTAAAGACTGTTCTTGGAGTTACTTCTAAACAGACCGAACAGCAGAATCGCCTGAATCATCAGAACCATCTATTTCAGAGAATCCGGGTTCAGCAAATGAATCTCTGGCCAGCACTGGTTCGAGAGCAGTGTGAGCATCACACTGAGGAATGCTGTTTTCTAGGATTTGACATTTTCGGCGATCGAGAATCTCTATATTTTGTGAATGGAAATACCACTACTAAAAACAGAATCCTATAAATAGAATGACGTCTTTTGTTTCCAAAGTCAATATACCAGATTAATGCAAAGAAGCAAGCTATTTCATGGCACAGTTATCTCGGGGTAAGTGCTGCAGCCACCAGCCCTGCCAGTGAGTATTCCAGGGCAAACGGGAAGTAAGCCATTCCCACGCCATCCGAGAGAGCTCAGCCGTTACCTTCACACTCGGGGTTCGGCTTCCGGGGAGACGTGGCTGGAGCCTCCTGGTGACAGACGCACCGGTACGAACCCTCCAGGTTAGCACACAGTTCCCTTCCAGAACAGGTGTTGAGCTCGTCATAGAAACACTCATTGACATCTACGGGGAAGGAGAGCAGGACCCGTACTCAGCAGTCGCAGCCACTTCATCCTCCTCATCCACCTGCACATGCGTGGCCTCCGTGGACTCACACCATGGATTTGTGCCACGTGACCTGAGGGATCCCTTGGGCAGTGGTCCCGAGGAGGACTCTGGAAGCCTTGTCTTAGAGGGCCCTGTGCAGCTGCTGGCCGTCTTCATCCTAGCGGCGGCCCACATTCAGGCAGGGCTCATGGCTGGCTCACCTGGCAGCCTCCTGGGAGCAAATCACTTTGGGCTGAACTGAGTCTGAGTGGTCATGAAAAGATGGGGCCAAAACATCCCACCCCAAGCAGAAAGCAAAGGAATGGGTGTTTTCTGCACCAACAAGGAAACCCAGGGCCACCCCTGACGTTCTGAGGCTGGCCTCAGCCTCCCAGACAGAGCCATCTCACTGCAACCAGCCTCAGACATGGCCTCTTTATAATGCTGTCTAAGCACAGACAGGGACAAGCTCACGTGTCACCCACGAAATACCAACGCCCCTCTCTTGGCCAAAATTAGTGATTACTAGTTCCTTACAAATTGCAGCTTCCCATCATGCAATGCTTCCCGTCCTTTTGCTGAGAAGCATTGAGATTTCCAATCATGGAGTTGCCTCCACCTTCTGACAGCTTTCAATTTAGAACAAAATCACACTTCCCAAGACCCTCCCCAAACCACCCAGTCAAAACCCACATCCTAGAACAGGCTCTTTCTAACAGCGTCCTGCTGACTCACTGGTTCTCCACGGCGCAGGTTCTCCCTCACTGCCTCAAATAATAAACTCAACTGGTCTACCCACAGCTGTGCTCCTGCCACCTCTGGCCCGAGGACATTGGTGGGGCAGACGACAGAGCGAACACTCTGCTTAATGGCACAAGAGCAACGCAGCTTGGCTTTGAGGAACACGCGTGGATGGGAAGGGAGATCAATGCAATCGCTCGAGCTTTCACACGGCTCTGAGCCCCAGTGTCATCACCTGCGTCCTCAGTGTCACAGAAGAGGCTTCACCACAGCAGTCACCCTCCCGAAAAGCCCCAGGAGCAGCAGACTGGCCTGGCTGCCTCCTGCTTAGGGACAGGAAGGTGTATGGGAGCCTGGCAGTTTGCCTGGGGACTGTCTGTGGCTGCTACAGCAGCAGGGCTGAGTCCTTGAGACAACAGAGACCGCATGGGCCCACAAAGCCAAAAATATGTACCATCTGGTCCCTTTCAGATGAGGTTTCCCAATTCCTAACATAGAACGGTAACTACAAAGAACGGGTAATGTCTTCCAGAGACAAGGCCACGTCTGTGTGCTTTACCAGGTACAAACTCAGCTTCATACGAATTCTGCTGAAGGAGCCTTTGAGGTGCGAGGATGTCTTTGGCAAGCACGGGAAAGACGCAAGAGGGAAGTTTAGGAAACCAGAGAACTGAAGAAACACATTCTGCATGTGTGGCTCTGGGATTTGCCCTCTAGTGTCCACTAGGACGGATGGAGAAGCCTGCCGAGGGTGAAGGAGGCCAGAGGGAGCCGAGGAGAGATGAAGGGAAGGGGAGGGGGCAGGAAATGCGGGCTGAAACATGTTTTCACGGTCTGCACTTGGGGCTTGGAGTTTACAGGGTGAGCTGAAGGTGGGTCCCACGCCTGTGGGGTGAACACTCTTGAAGCAGTTACTCTTTCACTCCTGAACTTAAACCTCCTTTAAAAGGCAAAGGACTGGCCTGGCCTTAGCATCCACCTTGCATTTTGGCTGTTCAGGCCCCACCGTGCAGCCTCCCCGGAGAGAGGATCGTGGGAAGCCCAACCTTGCACCTGGACGCTGATCACTTCATAGGCACGCTTTGCGATGTCACCCAGCAGGCTGGAGACGTCAGCCACGGGCAATGGCCAAGGCAGGCCCAGCAGCAGCCGCGACACCGTGGTGGAGGCGTCCCCAGGGGCCGAGTGCAGGTGATGGACGGTGGAGGCCAATGGCTGCAGGGCACCGGTGACCTGTGAAGCCAGAATCAAAGCGTCACACAGCAGAAGGACACCCCGTCAGACAAACAAGGAGGCTGAGGCCACAGAGCTGAAATGAACTGTACACGTGCACACACCATTCCGCTCCTCAGAAAAGAACCTGTACAGTATTTACACATCTGTCACTATCCCAGCAAAAGTCCTGCAAACCAGAACCACCAACACCTTTCAGCACCAGTTATTACGGGCCGAATTCCATCCCTTAAAATCCATATGTCATCCCAGCACTTTGGGAGGCCGAGGTGGGCTGATCATGAAGTCAAGAGATCGAGACCTTCCAGACCAACATAATGAAACCCCATCTCTACTGAAAATACAAAAATTAGCTGGGTGTGGTGGCACCTGTAGACCCAGCTACTCAGGAGGCTGAGACAGGAGAATCACTTGAACCCTGGAGGCAGAGGTTGCAGTGAGCTGAGATTGTGTCACTGAACTCCAGCCTTGGAGACAGAGTGAGACATTGTCTCAAAAAAAAATCCGTATGTTGAAGTCCTGACCTCCAGTACCTCAAAATCTGACCTGATCTGGAAATAGGGTCACTGCGGATATGATTACTGAGGGTGGGTTCTAATTCAGTATGGCTGGTGCCATCATAAAAGGGGAGATTTGAACATAGAAACAGACATGAATGAGGGGAAGGCAATGGGAAGAGATGGAGACAGCCGTCTGCATGCCGAGCAGAGACGCCTGGAGGTCCACCTGCCAACACCGTGATTTCAGACTTTCCAGCTCCCGGAACTGGGAGAGAGTAAGTTTCTGTGGTTTGAAGCCCCCAGTCTGTGGTCCTCAGTTACAGTGGCCCCAGGACCCTAATACAGCAGCCGGCCCCAGGACCCTCCGTCTCCCACCCCTGCCAAGACTGCAGGTCTCTTGCAGCTGACGACAGAGAATTAGAACCAGAATTAGACCATCCGAGATCAAAAGCCAAGGTCTCCTGTTGTACACAACCAGCTTTTTTTTTTTTTTTTGAGGTTTAATGATCACTTTCCTCATTCCATATGCATTATTTTTATTTCAGCTTAATATCTTGAAATCTCAACCATTGGGAAGCCAGGTGAACCAGTAACTGCACAGCCAAGCCAGCGGTCCCCAAAATAAACTTTGCCAGCAACCCCCAAGTCTCCACTGAGAACCCAAAGGAGGTCTGGGGAGAGCTGGAGTCCTTCTCTGAGACGCGCTTGAAGCCCCTTCCTGGGAGGAGATGTGGCTGGTAACTTAGAAGACAGAAATGGGAAGCAGCACCGGCCTCGTCGGAACCCCTCATTCAGCAGCAGAAACGGGCCTCGGAGCCCAGCCCCTGAGGCCGCCAGAACCCCGTGCAAGGCAGGCACTTCTGCGGGGGCTCATGGTCTGGTTGGAGATGAAATCTACGCGAGGAGGCAGCAGGCGGCACGCGGCAACACTGAAAACTCAACCACCACAACATCTCAGGCCCCACACGTAACAGGAGGCTCAGGAACAACCTCAAGCTCTTTCTATGCATGATTTAAACTTGTGGCCCAGTCTCAGGCAGTTATGATGATTCCTTCTATTTATATATTTATTTAGAGACAGAGTGTCGCTCTTGTTGCCCAGGTTGGAGTGCAGTGGCACAATCTCAGCTCACTGCAACCTCCACCTTCCAGGTTCAAGCAATTCTTCTGTCTCAGCCTCCCCAGTAGCTGGGATTACAGGCATGTGCCACGATGCTTGTATTTCTAGTAGAGATAGGGTTTCATCATGTTGGCCAGGCTGGTCTTGAACTCCTGACCTCAAGGGATCCACCTGCTTCGGCCTCCCAAAGTGCTGGGATTACAGGTGTGAGCCACCACTCCTGGTTGATTATTTATATTTAATGGAGGAGGCACAGAGAGGTTAAGTGACTTCCTCACGGTCACATAGCTGATGAGTGGCAACACCAAGGCCAGGCAGTGTGGCTTTAGAGCCGGCTTCTTAATGGCCAATTGAGCAGCCCCCTCAACAAGCAAGGGGAAACAGGAGTCACTCCCAGCCCGGGCTGTGAAGGCTGAGGCTGCAGACCACCCATCCAGCAGCCCACCGGCCAGTGGCCCAGAACAACGTGAGGTGTGCACCATCTGCCCTGGGCTCCCAGCCAGCTTAGTCTAAAGGCTGAGGAACGCCGAAACCCTGGGTCTGACACCAAGCCCCCCAGGGACACAAGGGTGCACACAAGATCTGAAGCGCAGGATGGCCACACAGATGCCAAACAAAACACGGCCCTTGTCTGAAAAGTGCTCGGCATTTCCAGAGGCGGCAGCAGCACCTTAGACCAAGCTGGGGCCCCTCTGAGCATAGGCTCCTGTCCGCAGCTGGCCCTGAGGTCAGACCATCCCCAGGAGGGCCGCCTTGGGGGCACGCACTGCCCTATCCACGCTGGGATTCCCGAGACTGGTGGTGGCCTGAGCTCCAGAAGACATCCTGATTGGAAATCAGGGACAGTGGGCAATGTCTGCAGTCTGGGATATCACCCTGGGGTGCGCTCCTGACGTGTGGAGAGGCCAGGGGTGCTGCCAACCATCGGACCCCAGGGTGCTCTCCAGCCCCAGGCTAGGGTTTCCAATTTAGCACTCCCAGGATGGTGTGGGCTTCTCAAAAGCAGGAGCCAGAATGTGAGGGATTTGAGAGTGAGGCTGGTGAGGGAAGAGCTCCAGGCTTAGACTGTCTTTGCTGGGACTCCAGACCACTGCAAGCTCGGGAATCGGTGGTCTCCCCACAACGGGCGGGCCTGTGAGGGCACACACCTCACAACGCGTCCAATGGCACACTTCAGTTGACTGCATTTTGTTGCACACAAAGAGGTAAATGGCACCTCTTCGAAGCTGATTTTTTTAAGAATTAGAATTTGGGGCCAGGCACGGTGGCTGACACCTGTAACCCCAGCACTTTGGGAGGCCAAGGCAAGCAGATCACCTGAGGTCAGGAGTTCAAGACCAGCCTGGCCAACATGGTGAAACCCCATCTCTACTAAAAATACAAAAATTAGCAGGGCATGGTGGTGGGTGCCTGTAATCTCAGCTACTCAGGAGGCTGGGGCAGGAGAATTGCTTTAACCCAGGAGGTGGAGGTTGCAGTGAGCCAAGATCATGCCACTGTACTCCAGCCTGGGAGACTCTGTCTCAAAAAAAAAAAAAAATTGGTTCAGACTCAGTCATTTGGGGTCACATGTGGAACATCACCCTCCCCAACCCCCAGGTCCCTTCCACAGCCCCACCTGAGTCTGCCTGAGCAGCTGCCAAAAGGAGCATGCAGACAGCCCCTATCTTTCTCACCCACCAAGGAGTGCAGGAGGCGCGTGTGGTTCAGGAGCCTGGGGTCCACTTGCTGGAGTTCCTTGAAGTCCATTTTCACCAGCATGGTGACGTTGTACCAGGAGCCCACAGGGTCCCTCTCTGGAGCTGCATAAGGGCAAACGTTGATGATTGTGGCCCCAGGACAGGTGGAAGTCACAAGGGCCACTGGGGTGGGGGCAGGAGAGGAAACGAGGCCCTGCTCTGCATTTACCTCCCTGCACAAAGGCAGCTGCCACAGGAGACGGGTGGGGATGTCCCACTGCCCGCCCCTCACTCCTCTCCATCCTAATGTCCCTTAGGACCACTGATCCCTGCTGGGGGTGAGCTGGGCCTTGACCCACAGCAGCAGGCCTTCCCTTGAAGAGATCAGCTTAGGAGCTAAATAGAGCCTGTCAGCCTCACTATGCCGTCATATATATTGATGTGGAAAAGGATTTTATTCTGTCATTATTTTATTGATACTACAAATATTGGATAGTAAAATATATATTACATAATATCTTGTAATATAATGGTATATTATCATATAATACTTGACATTGTGTATACTATCGTTTTATCACTTCACACTATACTAATGCCATAATATATATTTAAAATGTTAAACAATATGCCACATTATAAGTAACATATCTATGCCATCCCATTCTCTTGTATGCAGACCCCAATCAAAAGAGAACTTTCCAGACCAGCCCGGGCATTTGAGGCAGCAGGGACCGTCTGCGGGCGATGTGGAGCTCATCAGGCCCCTGTGGCGCTGCAGGTGCAGCCAGCTTCACACCTGCGACAGACCCACCTGGGGCTCCCGCCTCTCCAGGCAAACTGGGAAATCCGCTGGAGCGGATCTGGTCTCTGCTCCACCAAAAGTGTCTTCCCATTTCAGGGCCCCTGCAAGCGCCGTGAGCTCGTCTACCCTGAGACTTCAGTGGCCAGATTTTGACTAAGAAATTATCTAAGAGCAGATGCCACCTGCGCACACAGTGGGGGCCCCCAGTGAAAGGGGCTGGGCTCCTAGAAACCCACTCCTCCCCACACCTTCACGTAGATCACACAGCTCAGGCCTCATCGAGACCCTCCTCGGCTGCAGGTCCATGAGCACGGCCCGCAGCAGCCTACCTTGGGGTGCAGGGGTCACGCAACCATAACCCCCTGACCAGGGGCAGCACTTCTGAAGCCCCGGACAGTCAGTGTCCAAGCCGCAGGACGAGGTGAATGGTTCAGGTCCCTCTGGGGGGCAGACCCCAGGTCTTGATGTGAACTCGCTGGACCGATTGAGGGCTGGGAGAAAATGACACATGAATGAGGCTGGCAGTAAAAGACGAAGCCGTGATTTGCTGCCCGGGACCTGACGTGGGGGCTTCCTGGTGCTGAAGTCGGCCTGCGGGTCTGTGGCCTGTTCAGGACCCATCCCTGTGGCACACACCTGCCCCACTGGAGGGCTGTTGACTTGCCTCCCTGATCCTCTGCCCATCTATCCTGCCAGGGCAGCTTCAGCTGCGGTCCTGGGGGTCTCTGTTTTCTCTAGGCCTCAGGAGTCCAGGTCCAGGGGGCTCCACTGCCCCGAGAGGGCCCCTGCTGCTTCAAGTCCTGAGAGCTGACTCATTCACTCATTCATTCATTCAACATTTGTTGAGCACCTGCTCTGTGCCCAGCACAGTGCTGGATACCCAGGGCCCAGCCTTCAGGAAACGCATATTCCAGTGGGGAAACAATAGTGCGAGGAGACCTACAGATGCTCAGACAGGGTGAGAGCCTCGGGGGATGCAGCAGCATGGTGGACGGAGTCTGGGAAGGCCGCTCTGGAGAGGGGCTCGTGCCTGGGCTGGGCCGAGGGAAGCTCGGAACAGCCCGCAGACATCAGCCCTGGTGCCCGAGAGGCGAGGTGCGGGCCTGGAGTGGGGTGTCGTGGGGGCTGGCCCAGGTGACATTGCAGGGGAGTGCAGCATGGGACCCTGGGGAGATCAGGTGGGGGCGCCCACAAGATGTGCTGACAAACAGGATGGGGGTGTCAGAGAAGAAGCAGCTTCAGGAAGGCTCCCAGGTTTTGGGCCTGGCATCCCCGGGGTTCCATTCCTGAGCTGGAGAAAGCTGTGGGAAGAATAGCCTGGGGTAGACCAGGAGTGTGGTGGTGCAAACGTGAAGTCTGACACGTCCACTGCTCACCCACGTGGAGATGAACAGCAGAGAGGCAGTGGAGGCGGCCACTGAGACCAGCCCACCAGCTGCTGGCTGCACAACTCCTAGCCCTTCACCGAGTGAGCGCAGCTCGGACGCAGCTCCAGACACAGAAATACGCCGAGCCTCTGCAGGAGGCAAAGATAACGAGGGCAAGAGGCCAGCCGGTGGAGTCCCCACTTGAGGTGCAGTGGTCCTAGGGACCAGATCTCAGCCAGGGCTGCAGGGGGAGGCCACAGCAGGCTTTCCGGAAGAAGGACTTGTAGAGCTCCTGGAAAGCACGGCAGGAGTCTGAGAACCCACCCAAAGGGAAGCTGTCGGGAACCCAGGGGCTGATGTTCAGGGCTCGAAGAGCACAAGAGGAGGGAAAAGAGAAGAAACCGAACCCCATGGACAGGAGACAGTGGAGCATGAGCCGGATGCTGGCAGAGCCTGAAGTGTGCCCTTGCCAAGACGGCAGGGGTGGGCCCAGGGCAGGAGATGACCCCATCTGAGAAGGCAGGAGCTCCACGAGGCTGAGGGCAGCGGCGAAGAGGACACAGAGGGAGGAGGGACCCCAGTGCAGGGCCCCAGAGAAGGCTTGCCCAGCTCTGCAGCCTCCATAGCCAGCCACCCTGATGATGGGTACCATAACCCGGGGCTTTACTCAGAGCTGTCCAGCTCATGCCCAGATGCATGGCAAACTCTGTGTGTCTATGGCCCGGGGAGGTTTAGAAGCACAGCCCGAGACCCCTCAGAGCCCAGAAGACTAGATGAGGCCAGCTGGTAACTGGGTCCTGGACTCACCCCCTGCGAGGGTAGGGAAAACTCGTGAGATTGCTCAAGTGAAAGGAAAGCCTCGACAGGCTGTGGTCCCAGGGACCGGCCTCTCAGGTCTCCCAGGGTCTCTGCAGAGCGCTTGCAACCAAGAAAGGTGGCCGCGCTGCTGAGAGCCTGGAGGTCTCTGCTTTGTCTCCCAGTGCAAAAAGCAAAGGCCTCAGGGTTAAGCCAACATGTGGACTAAATAGCAGTGGGCTCCTGGGACAGAAAAGACATCTGGGGCAAGCAGGGAAATCCGAGTGAAGTGTGGAGTCCCTGACGATGCCCAGCGCGTTGGCTCCTGAGGACAAAGAGGCCCGAGAGACGCAGGTGCTGAGGTTAGGGGAAGCTGGGGTGTACAGAACCTTCCTGCATTATCTTTAAAACTTTCCTGCAAATCTAAAACTATCCTAAACTAAAAGGTTTAGTTAAATAGAAACAATCCCCCCAAAAACTGGCTTCCAAAAATAGTTGCCTAATCAGCAGGGCCTGTTTTAGAGTGAAAGGGCTGCATCTCAACTGGGTGGTGCCAGGACGCCCCTCCATCCCTCGGAGCTTGCCGGCTGAGTGCCCAGAACGCTGAACAAGTCCAGCTTGGTACAAAGTCAAAAATCTCCTTCTTCTCTAACTCAATGCAAACAATAAAACACAACTGCTCAGCTCCTGGCAACAGTTAGTCATGGTCCAGGGAGGCAACGCGGGAGCGTTCTGTTTGAGCCACAAAACCCAAGGCTCCCAGGGCTGAGGAGTGGATGGGCTGGGGAGAAGTCGTTCCTGTCTCTCCCCTCCCTTGTTGGCGCCTCTTTGCCAGGTCGGGACAGGAGGTTCTCCTCAAAGGGTCCCTGGTCATCAGCATGAGGGGACAGGAAGTTTTGGGGAATCTCCTGCTGGGGTCCTGGGCTTGCCCAATGAGGCAGAGTTTGCCAGGAGGCTGATTCTATGCAGAACTGGGGTGTCCCTGGAGTTGGGGATCACAGCTAAGTGCTGGGTTCCACTTCTCAGAATTCATCCTGAGTACAGAACCCGCCTTGTGCCCAGCCGCATCTGTACTGTATGATGCTCATCACAGCATTAGATGTGATCACGAGTAATCAGAAGCAACTGAACATTAGGGGGTGAGAGCTTGCTCAATGGATGCTGATGCGTTTATGAGCTCATGCCGCGTGGCCATATAAGCCTGCAGTGGAGTGAGGCTTACGGATGTGACAGCTGTCATGGATAGACTGCTGAGCGCTAAAATCAGGCTACAGACGCCCTCTTGTGAAATGTCTGCCGGAGAGAAGGCCACGTGAAGGTGGATACTCACAAGATGAGGGTTGGGATAGTTTCCTCTCGTTCTTTCCCGTGTTTCCAAATTTTCTGCATGACTCGTGCATACATTTTCGTGAGTATCATTTTTTCAAAAACTTAAAATAATGCACAAGTTGTCGCCGCATTCCAAATGCTGGACTCAGCAAGTTGAAAAGTCACTGTAAGTCATATCACGTGTGTTCATGCGTCCCTTCCCTTTTTTGCATAAGTCATTATTGAGTGGGAGGAGAAAGGAGGAATCAGGGCTGGCGTTTTACCGCTGCCTGGGGGACAGGACTTCAAGGCTCAGACCCCCAAGTGGCTGGGGTGCATGTCAGCCACACTCAGGCAACCTGGAGGCCCCGCCACAGAGGAAGGAGCATCTCCCACCCTTCATGCCTCCCAGTATTTCCAGGTGCCTCCAGCATCTGCCAGGTCCAGCTTCGGGTCCTGCTTCATTCTGTACAAATCCGAGTCGCAGCTCTCGACAGGTCTGTTACTGAGACCATCTCACATCTAGCTCCACAGAGCCAACGTGTTGTGTGGCATCCCGGGAAAAGCATCCATTAACCCTTCAGGCTTTGATCAAAAGAGCTGTGCAGACAGGAGAAGGCTGTGCTGCCAGAACCCGGCGTGGAAATCCGCCCGCCACAGCACCTTCTCACTAGCAGCGTCATGTCTCCAAGCTTGGGGCTGGGAAGAGATAGAGGCCCACAGGATCCAGGCCCTCTGGAGGCAGGAGCTGCAGAAGCTTCATGGGCTGTGCCCTTCACCAGGCCCTGGCACAGGCAGGGACCTTCCTAATAAAGAACCCTGTGTCCTCAGTGCCCTGAAATGTTCCTCCTCCAGCAATCGCCACTGCCACAGTACTCAAATGCCACAAACTTCCTACACTGAAGTGCAGCTTGGTAAGCCCCCCAAAATCTGCCTGGGGGTCAGAGAGCCCCGGGCCCACATCCCCAGCCTGCCTCCCAGGAGCTGTGCCACGGTGGTAGAGGCTCAGATCTCCCGTAGCCTGGATCCCCACCTGCAGAGCCAGGGATGCTCGGTCCTTTGGTGCCTGAGAGATCGGAGGGTCTCCTGCCCTGGCTTCTTAGAAAGAAGGCATGCAGGCAATGCCCATTCCCCTGCATCATCTCTTCCTTCCTCTTTCTGGGCCTGCCCCTTCTTCACTGTGCTAGAGTGAGCCTTCTAAAACCTGAGGGGCCATGTACTGAGGGGCTCAGGGCCCGCAGGGTGAGTCCACTTCCCCTCCTGCCCCATGTCCCTCCCTGAGGCCTGGCTTTCCACTCCCTGCAGCTCCCCAGGGCAGCCCACTCTTACCCACAGGACTCCCTGACCGCAAGGGTATGGCCCTGGAGAGCCCTAATTAAAGGTGCTCACACTCTAAAAGTGGAGCTGATTCCCACAAGAGGCACTTCCTGGAGGTTGGTCTGCAGAGGGGGAGGAGGATGAGGGACAGGTGGTGGGGAGAGGCCTCCCTGTCTTCTGGGACGGATTTAACTTGTTTGTTGCTGCCGGCCAGGGTCTCTTACAGAAGGTGAAGGTAGGCATGGGTGGGGCTGGTGTGGCCCTGCCAAGCGGGGGCAAGGAGGGGCTGCCAATCAGCCTCCCCCAGGGCCTCCTCCCCTCACTAGTCCTGACAGTGCCCACAGGCAGGAAGAGATGTGGCCTTCACAGGTAAGACAGGACAGGACGGAGCAGAGCATGTCCTGACTGCAAAGCCCACGTGCTCTAAACCAGGCCCCAACACCTGTGTCCTAATGACCCCCGTCACTTCAACTCGACTGGGAGGGGAAGCTGCTCACAGAGCAGGGGCGGCAGCAACCGTGGCTCAGCAGGCTAGCCCCTCTGTGCATATGGCCCTCAGAGACAGGAAGAGTGGAAATGGGGGGCAGGCATCAGGACAGGAAGGGTCTCCTTAGACCAGCACCTGAGCAGCCCGGCCAGGGCACAGCTTCTCCCTGCCAGTGGCCCTCTGGGGAACCAATGAGAGTACAGAAGAGCCATTGCTCTGGAGTCAGCTGGTCCTGCCTGGCTTCTTTGGAGATGAAAGTGTTGCTCTGGGGTCAGCTGGCCCTGCCTAGCTTCTATTGTTGATGAAAGTGTTTCTCTGGGGTCAGCTGGCCCTGCCTGGCTTCTATTGTTGATGAAAGTGTTTCTCTGGGGTCACCTGGTCCTGCCTGGCTTCTATTGTTGATGAAAGTGTTCTCTGGGGTCAGCTGGTCCTGCCTGGCTTCTATTGTTGATGAAAGTGTTCTCTGGGGTCAGCTGGCCCTGCCTGGCTTCTATTGGTGATGAAAGTGTTGCTCTGGGGTCACCTGGTCCTGCCTGGCTTCTATTGTTGATGAAAGTGTTGCTCTGGGGTCAGCTGGTCCTGCCTGGCTTCTATTGTTGATGAAAGTGTTCTCTGGGGTCACCTGGTCCTGCCTGGCTTCTATTGTTGATGAAAGTGTTGCTCTGGGGTCAGCTGGTCCTGCCTGGCTTCTATTGTTGATGAAAGTGTTCTCTGGGGTCAGCTGGCCCTGCCTGGCTTCTATTGGTGATGAAAGTTTTGCTCTGGGGTCACCTGGCCCTGCCTGGCTTCTATTGGTGATGAAAGTGTTGCTCTGGGGTCAGCTGGCCCTGCCTGGCTTCTATTGTTGATGAAAGTGTTGCTCTGGGGTCAGCTGGCCCTACCTGGCTTCTATTGGTGATGAAAGTGTTCTCTGGGGTCAGCTGGCCCTGCCTGGCTTCTATTGTTGATGAAAGTGTTGCTCTGGGGTCAGCTGGTCCTGCCTGGCTTCTATTGGTGATGAAAGTGTTGCTCTGGGGTCAGCTGGCCCTGCCTGGCTTCTATTGAAAGTGTTGCTCTGGGGTCAGCTGGCCCTGCCTGGCTTCTATTGTTGATGAAAGTGTTGCTCTGGGGTCAGCTGGCCCTGCCTGGCTTCTATTGTTGATGAAAGTGTTGCTCTGGGGTCAGCTGGTCCTGCCTGACTTCTATTGGTGATGAAAGTGTTGCTCTGGGGTCAGCTGGCCCTGCCTGGCTTCTATTGAAAGTGTTGCTCTGGGGTCAGCTGGCCCTGCCTGGCTTCTATTGTTGATGAAAGTGTTGCTCTGGGGTCAGCTGGCCCTGCCTGGCTTCTATTGGTGATGAAAGTGTTCTCTGGGGTCAGCTGGCCCTGCCTGGCTTCTATTGTTGATGAAAGTGTTGCTCTGGGGTCAGCTGGCCCTGCCTGGCTTCTATTGGTGATGAAAGTGTTCTCTGGGGTCAGCTGGCCCTGCCTGGCTTTTGTTGTTGATGAAAGTGTTGCTCTGGGGTCAGCTGGCCCTGCCTGGCTTCTATTGGTGATGAGCTTGCTCTGGGGTCACCTGGTCCTGCCTGGCTTCTAATAGTGATGAAAATATTCTCTGGGGTCACCTAGTCCTGCCTGGTTTCTATTGGTGATGAAAGTGTTTCTCCAGGGTCAGCTGGTCCTGCCTGGCTTCTATTGGTGATGAAAGTGTTCTCTGGGTCACCTGGTCCTGCTTGGCTTCTATTGGTGATGAGCTTGCTCTGGGGTCAGCTGGTCCTGCCTGGCTTCTAATAGTGATGAAAATATTCTCTGGGGTCACCTAGTCCTGCCTGGTTTCTATTGGTGATGAAAGTGTTCTCTGGGTCACCTGGTCCTGCCTGGCTTCTATTGTTGATAAAAATGTTGCTCTGGGGTCAGCTGGCCCTGCCTGGCTTCTCTGGAGATGAAAGTGTTGCTCTGGGGTCAGCTGGTCCTGCCTGGCTTCTATTGGTGATGAAAGTGTTGCTCTGGGGTCAGCTGGCCCTGCCTGGCTTCTATTGAAAGTGTTGCTCTGGGGTCAGCTGGCCCTGCCTGGCTTCTATTGTTGATGAAAGTGTTGCTCTGGGGTCAGCTGGCCCTGCCTGGCTTCTATTGGTGATGAAAGTGTTCTCTGGGTCACCTGGTCCTGCCTGGCTTCTATTGTTGATGAAAATGTTGCTCTGGGGTCAGCTGGCCCTGCCTGGCTTCTATTGTTGATGAAAGTGTTCTCTGGGGTCACCTAGGACTGCCTGGCTTCTATTGGTGATGAGCTTGCTCTGGGGTCACCTGGTCCTCCCTGGCTTCTAATAGTGATGAAAATATTCTCTGGGGTCACCTAGTCCTGCCTGGTTTCTATTAGTGATGAAAGGGTTTCTCCAGGGTCAGCTGGTCCTGCCTGGCTTCTATTGGTGATGAAAGTGTTTCTCCAGGGTCAGCTGGTCCTGCCTGGCTTCTATTGGTGATGAAAGTGTTCTCTGGGTCACCTGGTCCTGCCTGGCTTCTATTGGTGATGAGCGTGCTCTGGGGTCAGCTGGTCCTGCCTGGCTTCTAATAGTGATGAAAATATTCTCTGGGGTCACCTAGTCCTGCCTGGTTTCTATTAGTGATGAAAGTGTTTCTCCGGGGTCAGCTGGTCCTGCCTGGCTTCTATTGTTGATGAAAGTGTTTCTCCGGGGTCAGCTGGTCCTGCCTGGCTTCTGTTGGAGTTGGAAGTGTTGGTCATGGTGTTGTTTTAACACTCCTGAAAGAGGAACACGCCTGTTAAACACCACACCTGGAACCATCGGGCCCTCTCTGTGCCTGGCTCTCTGAATGGGACAGCAGAAAAGCGTCAACCCGCCCTGTCATCTGTGAAATTGCACTGGAGACTGAGGGAGGGCCCACTCAGGAGGGCCCAGCATGCCAGTCTATGCAGACCCCTGGGGTCCTTGGTTTCTGGACGAGGCAGGCACCCTGGTTTGGGCAGTCCTTGCCCCATTCTGCTGGTGTCCTGGTCTCAGGCCACAAGGAAGGGTCCTGTAGGACCCCCATGGGGGCAGCCAGGAGCTGCTGGCTTCTGCACTCTAGAGGTCACAGCCCTTGTGTCTCAGTGACCTGGGCCGACACCTAGCTGGAGTCACACCCTCCCACATCCTTCCACAGTGGGGGTGTGAGGCAGGACCTTCTGACTATACAGAAACTCACTGCAGACCTGCTATTGACTCAAAATTAGTACACACACACACACACACACACACACACCTCCCCTGGAAGAGATCACCTGCATGTCAGTAGGCTGAGCCCTGACCCCCCTGCCCCATCCCAATGCCTCAGACCCTGGCGCAGCATAACCACACCAGTCACCCTGGTAACTGGCCCCAAGCATCCTACAGGCCCGCAGCTTTCAACCTGCACTGAGGAAGCTGGAGGACTTGGGCACTTAGCACGGTGGCTCAGGGCTCCTTCCAGCTCTTTCATGTATTGGAGTTCAAAGTAGGATTTTGGTGGCAAACGCATTTCACTGCAGCTTTTAGCAAGAAAAGGCTGCTGCAGAAGAGAGTGCAGTGCTGCTCTCACACTCAGCGGCGTCTGAGAATCACTCTGGGAGCTTTGAAAACTCCTGACACCCATGCCATGCCATGGACCAATTCCCTCCCACTCTCTCAGGATGAGACCCAGGCATCTGCATTTTTAGAGCTGCCCAGGAGCCCTCTGAGAACAACAGAGTCTCTCAAAGTGGAGTCTCTGGGCCAGCAACAATAGTGTCACCCAGGAATTTGTCAGAAAGGCCAATTCTTCTATTTCACCCCCACCCACAGACTCAGAAACCTGGAGGTGGGACCAGGGACAGCCCTGCCAATGACCCTGCTGCCCAGTCAAGGCTGGGAACCGTGCTCCTGGAAGATCTAGCAAGTTCAGGGCCAATGGGTGCCAATGGTGACTGTCCCATCAGGAGTCTCGATGGCGAGGGTGGCCCTGCCCCAGCCCGGCAGCCCTGGACTCACGCAAGACACAGTAGAGGCCAAGCTGCTCATAGCCCTCACAGCAGTCGGTCACATTCCTGGACTCGGGGACGTCCACCACCAGGTACTGGGTCCGGTAAACAGTCTTGGGGCACCGCCTCCAGGGGATCCAGCCACCGCAGGACACATAGGTCGTGTAGGGTGTCTGCACAGCCTCCACCTTCTGTTCAGTGTGGGTCACGCGGTGGCTGCACAGCTGGTAGCCCAACAGGGAGAGGCCTTTTTCTAAAAGAGAGGCGAGCAAGGAGGCGGACCGAGACCCGGAGAGGGAAGGACGCCAGGATCAGATCCCTGGAGCCGTGATCTGCAAGGGGCCCTCTGCAACAGCACATGAGGCCACAGCTCCCACACTCAGCAGGAGCTGCCCACCAGCCCTCTCCGCAGGCCTTTTCCTGCTAGGGGGCCGGGAAGGCTGCTGCATAAGTGAAGGCAGAGAAATAAAGCACAAACGTAGCCTGGTCTGCTAAGAAAGCTGCTGTGAGCAGGGAGGAGACGCCATCTGGCCCCACGTGTGCTTCCCTGAGGACAGTGATCTCACGACCAGTGTAGGAAGGAAAGAGCACAGCATTGGGATCAACCCTCAGAGATCACGTCCCTTTTTTCCACTCCACGTGGGCTGATTCCACAGGCCACAGAATCTCGTGCATCTACCTCCTGGTCCCCCTGAGCCTCAAGGTTGCCATCTGGGAAAGGAACGTGCAACAGCTCTCTCTACAGTGCGCACTGAAGGCCTACTGCGGCCAGGGCGTGACAATGACAGCTTTCTTCTCAATGACATGGAAGGTAAGTAAACAGGTAATTAAAGCACACATGAGAAGTTTATGATAAAAGATCAGTTCAGACTTGGCGCAGTGGCTCGCGCCTGTAATCCCAGCACTTTGGGAGGCTGAGGTGGGCAGATCATTTGAGGTCAGGAGTTCGAGACCAGCCTCAGCCTGGCCAACATGGTGAAACACCATCTCTACCAAAAATATATAACAAAAAAGAAAAGCCAGGTGTGGTGGTGTGTGCCTATAACCCCAGGTAGTTGGGAGGCTGAGGCAGGATAATTGCTTGAAGCCAGGAGGCAGAGATTGCAGTGAGCCAAGATTGTGCCACTGCACTCCAGCCTGGGCAACAGAGTCAGAGTCCATCTCAAAAAAAAAAAAAAAAGACTAGACTGGTTCAACTGTTCAGCCATTACCACTGTGATCAGGAGGAGGCACAGCCACCCCCGCAGTAGGACGAGCATCAAGTTCACCATATTGGGCCCCACGCGTCTCTCACCGGAGCCCGGTTCCTGGGCATAAGACCCATCATCATCCATCAACGTGACACTGGGTTCTGGAGACCCTGGCCCCATGACAGTCACCACATGCCTCTTCGTCATGGACATCTTATGACCTGGTGCCTGGGCTCCCCATCTCCCAGGGAACCCCTATTGTCAATTCAAATCAATTGTGTTTCTCCAAAAATTCATAGTTAAACTCCTAAACCCCAGTAACTTGGAGTCTGACCTTATCTGCAGCTAAGTCTTATGGAGATTATCAAGCTGAAGTGAAGACATTAGTGTGACTGGTCCTTCTACTAAAGGGAAATGTAGAGACAGACAGGCACACAGGGAAGAGAGGGCAGAAACCGGGGTGATGCTTCTACCAGCCGAGGAACACCGGAGATTGCCAGCAACTCGGAAGCTGGAGCCTGGAGCAGAGATTCCCGCAGAAGCTCAGGAGGGGCCGCCCGCCCGCACCCTCGTCTCAGACAAGCTCAGGAGGGGCCGCCCGCCCGCACCCTCGTCTCAGACAAGCTCAGGAGGGGCCGCCCGCCCGCACCCTCGTCTCAGACAAGCTCAGGAGGGGCCGCCCGCCCGCACCCTCGTCTCAGACAAGCTCAGGAGGGGCCGACCGCCCGCACCTTCGTCTCAGACATCTGGCCTCCAGCACTGGGAGAGGATCAATCCGTTTTTGCCATTTAAGCTACCTCGGCTGCATTTCATTGTCACAGTAGCGCTAGCGAGTGACACAGGGATGGTGAAGGGTCCCCTCCTGCTCCCCCGTGGCACCTAGCAGGGGGCTCTGAGTTTGTGGATGCTCCATGCAGGACGAATGGAGGGTTTGACCTACAGTGCTTGCATTTCAGATACTCAGCTGGGCTCTAAGCTTTACTTACAGCCAAGAGGCGGGGGCTCAGTATTACAGTTTACTTCCCTCGGTGAGCGGCTGGGTTGATTTCTGGGGAGGAACGTGGAGATGGGAGCAGAAATATCACAAAACCTGTGTTGTCCCTATTCCCTCCACTGGGGCAGCATCTCTGAGGGTTCCCTGCTTGGACCTCACAGCAGCCTACCAGTGTGCAGAAAGCAGGACTCAGGGGGGTTGTTACTCGCCCCAGGAAGAAACAGAGCAGAGCCAGCCCTCAAACCAGGTGAGGGAGAGGCTGCAGCTTTGCTCTGGGCGGAGCACGGGTGCTGGACCACACACTTGCTGCAAAGTGACCCCACTGCACAAGTAACAGGGACTGGAGCCGCAACCTCCTCCGGGGGCTTCACCCCAAATCACCCTGTGGGCTCAGCAGGGCCTCTGGGGAGGGGGACCACCTGCAGCTTGCCATCACCAATGGAGTAGCTCCACAAAGGAATGGAGGCCCTTGTCATAAGGGGTGGAACAGGACAAATCAGCTTCTGGGACAACAGCAGCTTGGTGCAGAGCCGAGAAGTGACTTACCTGAGGAACGGGGGAATACAGCCAGAGGAACACAGTCACCTACTCAGTGACCACACCGAACTGGCAAAGTCGGGGACTGCCTGCACCAAGAACCCAGCAGGGTGGATCTAGCTTGTTTTTCCTCTTAAGCTGAGCAGAGATGCCAACCACATTAAGGACACTTACAGCTCCTGATCTCTAGAGAGCTGCCGGGGCCCCGCCTAATTGTTACAGGGCCCCAGCTGGTCCACAGCAGAGCCCTCCTTCACACACGCGCGTACACACACAAACGCGCACGCACGCGCACTCCTCTCCTCTGGAACCCAGGAGATGTTTGTCCTGTTTTGTCTTTTACATTTCATCCAAGGCCATGTGTCATCCCAAGCCTGGCTTCTTGACTGAGCCCAGAGAAGAAGGTGTTTAGCAGATCCTGCCATTCCGCAAAGGCCTGCAACGGCCATCGGAGCAGGAGTTGGGGGTCTTGGATTCCGGTCTCCAAGGCGGGAAAGCCTAATGCTCTTAGGCCGACAAGAGTTCTGGGGTCAGGCACACCTGCGCTCACACCCGGGCTCATGAACCCTTGCCATGTGATTCTGTGCCCGTGTCACGCCTTCCAGGTGCACTCCTCTTGTCACCTGTGAAATCACAGCCATGCCCTGTGGCTGTAGAAGGCTGAGGCAGAGCCATGCCCCTGAAGCCAGTGCTGGAACAGGGAAACTCGGGGCGGGTGAATGTGGGGTTGCTGAGGTTCTGCCCTGTGTCCTCATATACAATGAGGGGTTCTGGAAACACCTCTTAAGACCTTCTCCAGCTTGCCAGGATTCCCACCCATTATGCACCTGAGCTGTGGTATGTACACATTACCTGTTCCAACAGGGACATCCATGTCACAAATCACAGTAAAAGGAAAGTCCTACTTCTGGGTGAAAAAATTTAAGCTAGTACAAAAACATAGTAGATTTTAGAAACAGAATGGATCCCTTTAAATTTCCAACTGAATAAGACAGATTTTCAGAGGAAAATGATTTCAAAGTCTGCAGTCCCATTTCCCTCGATTGTGGGATTTCAGAACCCCCATGCGTTTTCTAGCGGCTGCTCTGCCCTCTGCATGCCTGGGAAAACTCCGGACAGAGCCCTGGCGTGGCCCCTGGCTCCCTCGGTGACTCTGCCCTTGGAGAGCTGCGTGCCCTACGCTGAGTCCCTGATCCACTCTGGGTCTGCCTTTCTTTTTTCTTTTTGTTTGGTGGTTTTTTGTTTTGGGGGATTTCGCTCTGTCACCCAGGCTGGAGTGCAGTGGAACAATCTCGGCTCACTGCAGCCTCAACCTCCCAAGCTCAAGAGATCCTCCCACCCCAGCCTCCTGGGTAGCTGGGACCACAAGTATGCGCCACCATGCCTGGCTAATTTTGTTTTTTGTAGAGATGGGGTTTCATGATGTTGCTCAGGCTAGGTCTCCCTTTTTTTGAAATCTGTAAGGGAGAACTTGAATGCACCAAGGTTTGGGAGACCTTTCCTCTGTGTCTGCAGGAGCTCACTCTTCTCAGTGGGATCCAAGGACCCACAGCATCTGCATCACCCACAGACAGGCAGTGTTCCAGGCCCTGCACCCCAGACCTGCTAGCTAAGAATCTGCATTTTTACCCCCATGAATACCCAGGTGATTCAGCAGCAGGCTCCCACTGGGGGAGTCTCCTTCCCAAAAGCCTACCCGGCATTCCTGCTCCACCTCCACAGCTGCTACTGTGTGCACTTATGAAAAGCTTGACCACCAAGGAACAGATGTGAGCTCTCAAAGCAGAGGTGTTCTTGCCTGCCCAGGTCTCAGTAGGGGGCTGTCCTCATGAGACTCATGCCAAGGAGCCCCCCTTCTCATAATCTGCCCATGCCAAGCCCAGACCCCTCACCTGTGAAGCCACTGGCCTGGCTGGGGCCCACAGCACTGACTAGAGCCAGCAGGGCCAGTCCCGCTGTCCTGAGCATCTTCGGGCAGTGGTGGTGGCACAGGGCTCTTGGCCTCTACCAAGCAGCCTGGGTCTCTCCTATGCCAGGGCATATAGGGGCCAGAGCCGCCTGGACCCAGTGAAGGGAGCTTTCTGTCCCCTGCGCTGCTGTGGAGGCAATGGCTTCAGAGGAAGCACCGCTGGGAGCAGTCCCTTATGCCTGCTGGTTAACGCCCACCACTGCCACGGCTGTTTCCCTGGGGGCACCTGCGTGTTACAGCCTTTTCAGCTCCAAGCAGATGGCATCTCTTAGGAAAGGTGAGTACCCAACAGCGCAGCCTGCATCACTGGATTCCATCTCGTTGTTACGCAGAAGACACATTTCAGACCCAAATCTGACTCTCCATCAAACACAGGGTATTCTCTTACCCTATCATTCCGAACTGGCAGGAGAAAACAGCATCAAATCAAAGTGGTACATCGCATTCAGAAAAGTGTCTGTCACACGGTTCCACAATGCAGTTCAAAAGTCATAATAATGTCCAGGTGCTCTGACCCCGTCCTCTCCTGGAGCTTGGGCTGAGAGCACGAAGCTGTGGTCCCAGGGATGTACATTACTTATTATGACTTTGAGTAGAAACTTACATGACTGAACAACCACAGGCGAATGGGAGAGTAGTTACCACAGAGCATCTGATGCAGTTACACAGACGTTGAAATGCTCACCACGAAGATTTAGCAGCATAAAAAAAAAACACTTAACAATGTGAAGTCAAAGCAGCAACGCATAACATTTCATCTCTGTGAAAATGACAACTCTGTACAGTTACATAAACATGGAGAAAACTCCAGAAAGAGCCATAGGAAGGGAAGAAAATATTTCGAAGAGTGATAAGAATATAGGTGATTTATGTTTTATTTTGGCAGCCATCATGGTGTTTGTGAAGTAGGTTTTAGATTTCATGTAAAGTTCTTTCTAGGTTACGATGTCTTTGTACCAACCACACTGCTGATTGCCTCTGACTGCTTGGTGTTGACTGTCGCTGAAGCCCAGTTTTTAACGTTGGACGAATGAGATCTCGTTGATTTTGCTGAGGAAACATTCAGATGAATTAACGAAGATTCATCTTGGCTGCGTGGTTCGGGAGCGTGACTCCCTGGTGTTCTAGAAACGAAACAATTCCACCAGAAGGGACGCTCTTGCCTAACACCCTCAGCACGACGTTGCTACCTCTTTTATTCTCTGTAGACTCATGTCTGAGATGACGAGCGGCTGCCTTTGCTTGGTTAGTGACTAAATGTCAGATGCCATGACAAGAATACAAAAAGGAGGCTGGAACTGTTCACACAGCGAAGGGGCTGTGCCCAGCGGGTATCCGCGGAAGATGCCGCCTTTATGGAAAACCAAAAGCTTCACGCAGAATCAACTCATTTAAAAAGGTTTTAACAGGAAAAGAATAAATGTTAAAGCTATTATATAATAAGAAAATGAATTTTGATGAACACTAAAAGAATAAAAGTATGATTTAAGTAAATATGGACTTTTAAAATGCAAGATGAATTTGTGTTATATTTCATATATCATCTCAGAATGTTTGCTACTGTAACGTATGAATGTTTATAAAATATGAAGGTAGAATCGGGGATAATGTTATGGGTTAAAACAGATTTGTCTGGTACGCCATTGTCTCTCATCTTCGCGATTACTCTATGAAATAGGTCCTTTGTCCCCATTAGACAGGTGAGAAAGCAGGTTCAGAAGGCCACACGGCAGTAAACAGGATTTAAACTAGACTCGTCCAAGCCTCAAGCCGGGTCGGAGTTCTTCCCACCCCACTCCACTGCCCGTCTATCATGATTTAACTGCAGACCCCAAGACGGGGACAAAGTGAAGACATTTTGCCAGCTGAGGACTTCATACTCATTTACGGTCACCAGTAAAATGTCATTGTAACGTGCCGTCTCCTTATACTAGGTGATTAAAGAAAAGAATCTCCAAATGAACAGTGTGTTTCTAGCTTGGTCTCTCCTTCAGCCTCCCTTCCATCCTTTCATCCAGGCACAAGGAAGGATACCCCTGCCTCTGTGTGTGTGTTTCTGTCTGTGTTTAATCAACAGAAGCCATTTCTCTTCAGTTATTCTTTATGCATATTTTTCTGCACGATGGCCAGAGGGATTTTCCGTGTTTGCACTATGTAAACACTTTGAGAAGAAAAACAACCACATACTGTAACCCAACAGGGTGAAAGTTCTCCAGCATGTGGTGCCCAACACTCCTGGGGTGTGTCTCCCACAGTCCATCCAGCAGAGAGCCCCCATATTTGCTCTCCCTAGTCAGGGCCTCTGTGCAAAGCCCAGCATCCCCCACATAGCATCCAGGGGCTGCAGAACCAATGGAGGCCTCTAGTGGGCCATGCCGGCTTTCAGGGCACATGTGCACAGGCATTCACACTCACATACATGCACTCACACTGGGCGTAAACACAGACACATCCACACTCACAGGTGCACCCACACATACAGGCACACATACTAAAACACGTTCATACATGCACTTACAAACACAAACTCATATGCCACGTCACTCATGCATGCTCATTCACACAGGCTCACGCTAACACATGTCCACATATTCACACACTTGCACACACATATGGGCATACACACACATAAATGGACACACATTCACACTCATGCACACTCACGCATGTTCACTCTGGAATCTGCACACCCACACACATTCACACTCATGTACTTGCACACTCACGGCTGCCCACTCTCACATGCACATGCATGGGCCAAGTGAGCGCTTTCCATCCTGGACGAAGCCTCTCCCCAGGCATGTGCTGCCCCTCCTGTCTCCAGCGCTGGTGCCTGGGCCGGCAGCTGCCCTGTTTTCTCCTCCTGTAGATGGAGTGATTTGAAGTCCTTGACCTCCACGGGGCCTTTCTCATCTCAGGTCAGACTTCCAGGATCCTGTGTGTGCAAGCTCACAGAGGCTCAAGTTCTGCCTCAAAATCACACATCTGTCATGACTCTATGGCCAAAATGTATCCCTGCCAGGGCAGGAGGCAGAAATGGCGGTGCGGCATCACCACGCGATCACAGCCTCCTCTTTGTATCCCCACGACAGCCAGCCATGGCAACGGCTGCCAGGCAGGTGCACAGCAGGGAGAAGCAGGGCGGGAGAAGCCCTCATCTCCAAGGGGTGGCCAGGTGGGTTTATTTTCAGGGAAAGCTGGTTGTGTTGAAGAGCATGAGGAAGAGCTGGGGGGGGAGGGTCATACAATGGAAAAATGTTTTAGACTTGAAAGAGACTTTGAGTCATGCAGTCCAGCATCCAGCCCCATCCAGGCGGCTCTCCGACAGTAGCAATGCCGTAACGTGGTGTTTCTCAGGATGTGGGGGAGGACCACCTGCATGGGGAGGGGACATACAGAAAATGCAGGCCCCCAGCCTTGCCCCTCACTACCTGGGCACTGGAGGATGGGCCCCCGGCATCCAGGTGACTTGGGTGCTCACACGACCTTGAGGATGGGACCTCATCCTTCTGAACACCAGGTGATCGATCCAGTGGGATGGCCCCTTCTGTGGGCAGATGTCTCTGCCCAGAAATTCCTCCCAACATAGAATCACGGTTGGCCTTCCAGCTGGAACAGCCACACCCAAGGAGCCTGCCCCCTGCCCCCCGACACTGGATGCTGAGGGCCACTCCTGCACACGGCAGCCTTCAGACCCTTCTGGAGAGTTCTCTGGGCCTCCTCTGTTTTGCTCCTCGAACCTCTCCCTCACATAAACACGTGCCCTTGTCTTTTTTCTGTTTCTGTTTGCCTTTGCAGAAGCTCGACTTTCTGATCACAGCCTGGATGACTCTTCTCTTTTCACATTCCACTTTGGAGACTACTGCCCTTCCTCCACGGGCAACAGCTGCTGGGTTGGATGGAAAGTGAGGGTGCAGCCTGGGTCAGGACTTCGTCTCCGAGCCTCGAAGAGAGGGGCAGGCATGCTGCTTTCTCGCTCTGGAGCCAGAGAGATCAGAAGGTAAGGAGACAACAGAAACTCCCAGAAGAGGTGCCAGGGCCCTCAGAGATGCTTCTGTAACACGGCAAAGGCGTATCTAAGACCAGGGAGGCTGTAGACACACATGTGCCAGTATGTTTTCAGACTCCGCATGCCTCACAGTGAAACCTGCGGAAGGCCCTGGACTCAGAGCCAGATGCCCTCGGTCAGTCCTTGTTCTGCCAACACCCAGACAGGGTCCCGTGGGTGGCATTTCTCCTCTTGGCGCCACTGTTTCCTAAACGGGAAATGACTGAAATGGAATAGTGATCCCTTCTAATTTAGTGGTGTTTCAATGCCTCCTGGTTTTATAAAAACCAAATGAATTAATGTGTGGGAATGCCTTCTAGAACCAGAGAGTATTTTAAGTATCCATGATGTATTGTCATTAGATGTAAGTAAGGCCATTACCGGGGAAATATAATTAAAAATAGAATGTGCTCCCAACCCAGAAAACCTCTCCACAAAGGTGGAAGAGAAAGAGAAGTTTTATTATTGAATAACCATTAAGCCAGAAGGTGATATGCATCTCGGGCAAGGCTAAGAGATTGCAAAGAAAGGATCGCATTCTTTTAAAGACTGGAGCAGCTACAACTCACTGCACGCGTGTTTTCAACATAAACAATAACCACTCCTTAAGGAAGAGACCCTGACAGTGCCATTTGTCACAAACTGTTGACTCCGTGGCCACCTGGTCATTGGCATTACAATCTGTGTTTGTTAATTGCCTGTGTCTAGAAGAAGAATAAACTCCTATCTCCATAACATTAACAGGAGGCCGTTTTGCAACTTGAAGCAAGATGCACTGAGTTAGGCTCTTGGCTTCCCCCTGAAAGCAGAGACGGGGATGCCATCACCCTTGATGTCTACAGTTCAAAATGGGCTTCCAGGTCCTTGAGAAAGACATGCTAGGTCACAAGGCCAGAAACTACCAGTCTAGTCTTCAAAACGATGTACATACATTTCAAACAGGGAAGAAAGCACTTGAAATAGAAGCTCTCAAAAGTAAATGCTCAGGTCCGGGTG